TTATTGTTTTTTTTTAAAACATACTTTTTACAAGCTCATATATTTCGTACAATACAGCTATAAAAAACTTCAACCTCATTTAGAAATCAAACACTAACTGACTTTACCGTAAAGTTTACTGCTACTAATAAAAAACTTGATGTGTTGATAAGCATTTTATTACACTCTCGTCCATTTAACGTGCTCTCGTGGGCTTGGCTGACATTGTGTTGCTAAAAATAAATAGTTTATTTTTAGCCACGTATCGGTACCATTTGAGAGTAAAATGTCGAGTCATTGCGATTTCGCGAGACCAGGGTAATGACTTTATGCAGACACGTATTTAGCAAGTTCAAGGTTGTTTTAAAATAAAATAAAAATAAGAGGCCTGTCTATTGAATTCTATTGATATCGACAAACATACATTTGCATATGAAGGAAAAATTATAGTACGATGAAGGAAGACATTGTTATACACATGATTATACGAACATATTTTTGTATATATATATATATATATATATATATATATATATATATATATATATATATATATATATATATATATATATATATATATATATATATATATATATAAAGCAGACTTAAGTGGGCAGTTGTTCAAATCGTCTTATATATTAAGGTATAAGGTATAAAGTTACAAGGTAGACCGCAAGAAGGTGATTCCCTTTCGTTATATGTTTCAAAGGTGTTTGTAGAGCGCACGACTGTTAACCCGAAAGAATCGAGTTCGGATCCCGGACTCGATTCCGTAAGACCTCCCTGAGCCCTCCCAGCTCTGATGGGAACCTGACTCATGTTAGAGAAAGGAAAGGCGGCTGGGCATAATGCTGACCACGCTATTTCTTCATATGCCGAAGTCACAGAAACAGGTGAACTCTACTTCAATTGCTCCATGGACCGTGTATAACTTTTGTCTCTGATTAGCCGCAAGCCGTTCTTTAGAACGCGTCGATCTGGTTTTCAGACAAACAGAATGATAATCTATCATCGCTGACCTTAAAAAATCAAGTGCCATTCACCACCGTTCGAACGTCTATTTTTAGCTTTGTATAGAGTACTTGACATTTAGCGGTGTGCGAATTTTCGTTCATTAGCTTACGGGTAACAGCTTTCAACGTACTGGGTGTAAAGTTTATAGTTGCTGTTTCGTATTTGCGGAATCATAACATTGTTGACGTCTAGACTGACTATCTTTAGAAGTCACAAACTGAAAAAAAGTCAGTGTTTCTTCCAGGCATCTCTTCGGAGGGGGGGGGGGGGGGGGGTCCGAGGGAAGTCTACCGCCCCCCCCCCCAACGAAATTGAATTTATATAGAAAACATACTTTTACCAGTGCCGCCCCCCCCCCCCCCCCTCCGGAGAAAAAAAGTCTGGAAGAAACACTGAAAAAAGTCATACGAGATCATCTAAATCCGTTATAGGAAACGGACAGTGACACAATGATCACACTTTTCTGTATACGTGTATAAGCGTACTATTTGATAACTAAGTATGCTAATAATGAGATGAATGTTTTGGAGAAATCGCCCTTAACCGAGTACGATAGAGAGGTGTGGTTGTGTCCCTACGCTCCACAATGGGTTCACAGGAATGATGATGATGTTTTGGTATAAAATAAAAAGTGTACTACTGTCTATCTATTTCAGTTTTTTTTTAAACTACATCGCTTTGTTAATGAAAGAAGGTAGAAACACGTCATACGAAATATAATCTGAATTGAATACTATTTTTTTTCTTTCAATTCATTCAAGCACATTTATCTAAATAACTTGTATATGGGGTCAAGTTTGCCTTGTTACTTACACTTGCAAGTCATGATTTGATAACGATAGGACTCTTCAATTATGATTAGTTTTTATCCCATTAAAAAAAAAATATTTATAATTACTGATAACTAAATGTTAAGGAGCACATACGTTCTGTAAAAAAAAAATCACGATTTAATGTTGTCCGATTCGTGTTTTTGATAGCTCTCCAGCAAGATACTGCATATTGTTTTGTTTGGTAGACCAATATGTCTTATTACCTGTCTGATGTAACACTTCTTATTATCGGGTGGCATGTGGAATTTTAAAATTTGTATTGTTAAATAAGACTTTGAAAATGACATCATTAGATTTCCACGTTTTATTGAAAATGTAAACAGTTTTTTTTTTAAGACTAGACAATGTATTTTTCAAAACTAAAAGTTTTTATATAATATATGCTATTTGTATAATTGCAGGGATGTGACTTTTCCGAATTTTAGCGGAAATCCGATTTTTCCGTTTCAGTTGCGATTTTCCTCCGCTGATTTGATTTTCGCCGAATTTTTCCGCCGAGTTTCAATTTTTGTCGATTTTTTACGAAACTTTAAAAATTAGGAAAAAAAACCGGAAATGTCTTCTACGGAAAGGGCCGACATGCTCATTCCACTTATTCGTATTTAAATTTAAATCGACAACTACTGTACTTAGGTCAAACGGACACGCGAATATGCGCATTTCTTTTCGATTGGTCGATTTTTTCAAAGCACACTTTTTTTAGCCCAAATTTTCCGCTGATATTTTCAGTTAACTATTTAACAAAAACACGGAAAAGGTAATCTAAAATAATGCAGTTATTTAATTAAAACTTACATCTCTTAAGCCTGGTAATCTAGCTATCGATATAGCCTAATTTACCTATCGGTATTTTAACCCGCCTAAATCTACAGTTTCTCTCTGATTCTATTTTATTTCGCAATCTCAAATTAATATTGAAATCCTTGCAAAAGGTGACTATGAGGACTAGACTAACCCGCCCCGCCTCGTAGCAACGGTGGCTCTTGTGACCTCACCTTGACCCCAAGTACGTTTTCGGTACTGCTTGTGGAAAAAAAAATGACGTCACAGTCAATTTCTAATAGCTGTTCCTGAAATTACGTAATGCTTCGTAGGCCTACAGATAAAAAAAATATACTAAACTCAACGTGACTACAACCGTGTCTTGTTTGTGGAAGAAAAAATACGTTCAGACTGTGGGGGGAGTCTGGCTTTTGTAGGAGAGAGGGGAGGTAAATATCGTCAAAAAAAACGTGGATGACCCATAACAATTTACAGCTATTCCTAAAAAACAAAAATATCGATGTGGCTTGGTTATCATAATGAAATTGGTTCACACGTCAGACCCTTTCTAATTTTAGCTAACCTGGTCCATTTCATTTTTCCATCACATGAACCTAAAACTTTCAAATTGTAACTAATCTTAATCTAGGGTCTTTACAGTTGAAGACAAATATTTTTACCAATCCAATCTTTAAAAGAATATATGTTAGGCTTTTGGCCCCCTATTTAAAACAGGGGTACATCTAGAATCTACACTAGATTAGTACAGATTAAATTAGCTTAATGGTAAAATAAAACTTAATTGCTACTTTTGTTACATTGTAATTTTTAAAAAGTTGTTTATAAGGTAAACATTAAATTGCAATTAGACTAGACTTTCAATGTTATTTTAGAGTAACATAAACTTCTTGTATTTAAAATATTAACTTCATTAAACAATTAATTAGTACAGTAACAGTATAAAGCTGCTTAACCGCGATAAAAAGTAGATAAAACATATTGAGTTATTATCCGAAAAAAATTTCCTAATTTTTTTTCCTGGTCTGGTCACATCCCTGATAATTGTCAAATCAAATGATGCAACAGTTGATTAATTTGTGAATTTAACAACGTTGCTAAACATTATAAATGTTTGCATTTAACTGCAGATTTTACCATTTAGATCTAGATCTAAATGCGAACAGCAAGTTGTCGCATCATTTAGGCAGAAAAAGTATCACCGAATGTAGACAATGTGCCGCGATATTTTAAAGACAGAAAAAAGTGTAGACTAAGTCAGAGGAGTAGCGACCTACTCCGGCGCCATGGACGGACCATCAATTTTGCGCCCCCTCTCTCCCATTTCTCTCCTATATGGTTATTCCTGTCTGTGAAAAAGTGTCACCCCCCCCTTTCCCAGTTAACGTTTGCTATTTCGGTGCCACAAAATTGATATAGAAAAAAGTTAAATCAGTGTGTTAAATTGAAGTCGTTTATTTTCGTTACCTTGACAGTGTATAAATCAATACATAAGCTTAACTTAACATGAGCTTTTTAAAATTAATTTGTCTACCCCTTTTGGCGCCCCTATGTGGTCGGCGCCCGGGGCGGCCGCCCTCTTCTAGCTACGCCACTGGACTAAGTGCCGTGATATTTTAAAGACAGAAAAAGTGTAGACTATTTGCCGTGATATTTTAAAGACAGAAAAAATGTAGACTATGTGCCGCGATATTTCAAAGACAAAGTACCACCTAAAGTACATTATGCCGTGTGCTATTGACATCAAGTTGGTGACTTATCTTTCCACTCCATTTATCATCTCGCTAGTAGCGTGTGCAAAAAAAATAATTGGAATTGATTTATTGCCTAGAAACATTATCCGCAGCTAAGTATAGAAACACACCTTACTAAGATTAGTTTACTACGTTTTCAAGCTATGAATAGATAGATACTCGATAATAGAGCAATAAAACATTTTTTTTTCCAAGTGAACTTTCGTAGTTTTAGTGTTATATGTGAACTGTCTGCCATTCTTTTATTTAAAAAAAAAAGCTGAGTTGCTACATAGATCTAGGCCATATCTGAATAAAAGATCATAAATATGGCTTTTCAAAAATGTTGAAAATCTGCGCTGTAAAGATCTACCAATTTATTAGAAAACACATGACCGGCTTTGGGCGAATCAAAACCACCCTTAAAAGCTTATTAGCATATTTTATAAATCTGGGCCGGTGTTCAAAAGGTAGTAACTGAGCATACCTATTTTTTTTTTCTATTTTCGTTTCTCCTACGTCACACTGAAATAGGATAGAGGCGTCTACAGTCTATATCAGTCCTATCTTTGACTTTAAGAGGTCTCACGTGAATTGTTATTACTTTACAACCTTGTCCTATTTAATGGTGTACATGGTAGCCTATATAAAGAGACTGTGAACCCAATGCGAACCTTACGACACTTCACCTGTCGACGACGAACATAGATGACCAGAGCGTAGACTTATTTAAATGTTACAGGCTTAGCCACAGCTATTAAAAAACGAAAACTTTTGACAAATGCCCGACAAAAACTTGTAAGTACACTTAATTTATTTTATACCGTTTGTATTTTGTTGTTAACAATAAACTCTAATTTAGATTTTTTTTGTCATGACATATTAAATCTTAATAGTATAGTTTTTTGGTTTAGGGTTTTAAAAAACCTGGACATCGATATTTTTCAGTTGGCCTAGTTGTAAAAATTTAAATACATTTGGTAGGTTATTTTGCACAATATCATGATATGGAACTAAGGTGTAGTCAGTGTGTGCGGACTCAACTTACTAGTCTAGATCTAGATCTAGATATCTAGATCTAGAATCTAGTTCTATTTCTTCGAAATTACATTTTTGCAACTGAACTAGATTCTATTTTGTAATGGATTCGAGATCTAGATCTAGATTAGAATATATCTATTCATAAAAATTACAATAGATCCAGAGAGTTTTTTTTTTACTGCGCTAGATCTCGCAGTCTGAGTCTGACTGCCAGTTAGGCAGTTAGCAGTAGCATAGATTTCATAGATCATCATTTGTGATTAATAAAATTAATAATGAATCAATAATGATGATGATTAAGTCTCTAGAATCTAGAGAGACTTGACTATCTTTTTAAATCTAGATTGATCTAGATACTAGATTCTACTTCTATCTAGATCTAGAATCTAGATTTTCCTAGTTCCTAGGTTGATTCAAAAAGATCTAAATCTAGATTAGAAAGTGTTAAGTAGTACTGTTAAGTAGTGTTAAGTGTTAATTTCTAAATCTAGAATAGATTCAATAGATTCTAGATTAGAAGTTAATCTAATACTTAATTGTGTTGGAGGAAATGCCCTCCAATATTATAATTAAGAGCGGAGAAGAAGATGATTACAAAGTTACCACTAATGTGTTTTACCATTATCATTATGTCATTGAGTTGGGATGGAGTGGTCTAGCGGTAGAGAGTAGAGAGCTTGACTGCTAACCCATAAGTCCCGGGTTCAAATCAGTAGACCGTCTTGAGTCCACCCAACTTTGATGGGTACCTAACTCAAGTAAAGGCGGCTGGGCATAGTGCTGACCACACTATCTCTTCTTATGCCGAGGTCAAGGAAACAAGTGAACTCTACTTCATTTACCCTATAAGTATAGACCGTCAGGTTTGAAAGGGAACTTTACTTTTACTTACATTGTGGTGAATTATTTTTTTTTTGTGGCAACTCAGTTGTTATTTCTTTTTTTTTACCAATTGCATTAGCCATTAAGTCACTGTGGTTCAATCATACTGATAAGTTAGGTTCTCATGACAACTCTCTCTGCACACAGATGTGATGGGTTTTAGTTTAAATTGGTATGTAAAGGTGGCTTGGCATATGTATTGGTCATAGAAAGAGCTTAACTCTCTTCTTTCTGTCCGATTCACTGTGTCATTGAAATGGCTACTTTAATTGTTAGTCTTACAAATACACAAAAACACTGGCAAGGAGTTTTTGTACCCCAAATCAATATTCTTACACTGAACTGTAATACTCAATTAAAAAGTAATACAGCTGTATAATGTTACATTAGCTTGGAGATATTCTTTATAATACATTGGTTATAAGGATGATAGAATTATTTTTAAGCTTCTTAATGCAGTGAGTAAATGTATGCCTAACTTAAATCTTGATTAATGCCGTAGGTTTTATTTTTGTTTTATTTCAACAGATTATTTCCTGACATTGAATTTCCAACTGCTAAGTCATCAAATCAGCAATTAAACCTCAACCAATCAGTTTTGTACATCTCTATGTCCAGCCTGCCTGATCTAGTTTTCAACACCCCAGTCACTTGCCAGTTTGATGTAATGCCACACACCTGACAGTTAGTTCAAATCACTTGTTGGAAAATAAAAAAGAAATATCAGACACTTGTTTTAAGGTGAGTTTTTTTGTTAATTTTTTCACTATTAATTACCTTATTAACTTTTGTTGCCTAATATCTTGGTAGGAGTTTTTTTTTCTTCAATTTTTTTAGATTGATCTTTTTCTGAGTATTTCTTGTTAAATAAAGGTTAGGGAGTATTAATTGTGTCCAAACATGACAAAAGATACAGAGAAACAGATATGCATTACTTATTGACTCACGTTTTTATTAAATTTTGCTGCCAAATTAATTTGTCACATGCATTATTTTCTGAGTCTGTTTTTCTATCTCTAAATTGTCTGCTTAGGCAAAGTCAATATTTATTGCCATTATTCTTCAGTGTGCATATCACATTCACCTGATTCTTCTATTGCGCTGCCCATACCTGCTGTTTATCAAAATATTCAACATTGTTATCTCCCATCTTAATTACTCTTTTGGTTATCTCTTCTTATACTTATTATTACCACTAGAACTAGGTCTGTCCGTTGGTCCAAATATTTCCATCATCTACATGGAGTATAACATCTATTATCTCTGTCCAATCATCTTGTGTTTTCTTTCTCTCACTCAACACTTGTCTTATCTGTAATCAGATCTCTTAACAAATCTTCAACCAATCTACATGCCTGGATGCTATGGTTGTTGCATGTTTGAATGACCTTTTGTTTGTAAAATATGAAAATATTTACTGGTTTTTAAATTAATTGTATCTTGCTTAATGAAAATCACACTGTTAAAGCTGCTTTAATAAATTTCACCTCTTGAGAACAGTGTTAAAAAATAACCAGGCAAATTTGTAATTAAAATATAATTTTTTTTATAACAATTTCAGTTCGCACTTGAAACTTGATAAAGGGAACAAATCAACATGACTGACAAATCAAACAGCCAGGATAGCTTCAACAATCTTGATAAAGCCCCTGATGTGGTCTCCAGTACCAAAGGGAAAAGAAAGAAGAGATCAAAGTCTGTTGATCTAGATGGTTCCGTTGTCCTGCTCAATGTTACACCTCTACAGGATGACTCTAAGAGAAGACTCAGTCAGGGAGACATTCCTCTCTGGCTTATCAAAAAGGTATTTTCTAAAGTCATGCTCTTGCTTTGGGTATCCTTTCTAAGCACTAATTTTGTATATTTTAAAACTTACATTCTGGTTGAGTCTTGGTCCATCACTGAGTTCACCTTGCTTTTATTGGTTAGTCTCATGTAAATCTGGGAAATTAAATGGCTTTTTGCATGCCACTTATACCACATACACATACTGAGTCATGAAAAGCATATCGATTTAGCTTATAAACCAATAATACCAGTTTATAAGTTAACATTATGAAGTTCAGTCAGAGCTGACAAAGCACTACCACAGTCACACTTATTTATTTCTCTAGGAGTGTGAAGAACAAGAAACTAACATAGACCAAGAAGATTTTCTTCTGGGACGTGCAGCTAACAGGAAGGTCCGACTCACAGAAGTTGCTCCATCTAATTCAAGTATCAGAGGACGTAAGTAGATTTAATTTGCCACTAGAACTAGCAGCTTGCCTGTTTACATTGCTGTCCAGTGTCATCATTTGGTTCTAATGGTAGAATATCAGTTTGTGTTCTTCTTTACAAAGATCATTTAGGTTGCTTTTGTCTAAAAATACTCTTTAGTAGAAATGTATGTATTCTGATTTTTAGGCATAAAAATTACTAATTTAGTAGATGGTTAAATAAATGTTATAAAACTTTTTTATTTCAACTTTAACCCCTGAGTTTCTTTCCAATTTCTTCTGTATGTTAATTATTCTTTTCACAATGTCACTATACTGTTTTATTTTACAGGAGATGATGCCAACAACTGGAAACTGCCTCTTGAGATTTTTACCTCTAAAAAAGGAACAGGGGTTAAAGGTCAGCCAAAACGTCTTAGGTCATATTACAAAGCTCAAGATGAACTAATTACTGCTTACGAGGAGATAGCCTTGGATGTTGAAATTGATCTCCATCCTACAACTATTACAAGCTCCAGTATGAGAGTTGCATCCCTGGTTTCAAAAATTACCCTCTTTGTCAACTTCTGTCTCCTTGTTGCCAAAGCTGTTGCTAGTGCATTCTCTGGGTCGATTTCCATTATATCCAGCTTGGTAGACTCTTGTCTGGACTTGTTCAGTGGTTTCATCATGTGGTGGGCCACTCGCGCTGTCAAACGCAGGGATCCGTACATGTACCCTCAGGGCCGCACGAAACTAGAACCACTGGCCATTATTATTCTAGCTGTGGTTATGGCACTGTGCTCCGTACAACTGATACGCGAGGCTATAGAAAAACTTATTGGTCTCAGTGACATGTCATCATCGCTTCCAACTGTCGACGCTATAACTTTTGCAATAGCTGGCAGCACTGTGGGGATCAAGCTGGTCTTATGGCTTGTCTGCCGCAGAATACAGTCGCCTATTGTTCAAGCCCTAGCCCAGGACCACAGAAACGATGTCCTTTCAAATGCGGTTGCTATAGTTTTTGGCTACCTGGGTTCTCAAGAATTCTACAGCAATGTAAACATGTATGGGTTTTGTTATCTGGACCCTGTCGGCGCTATGGTCATCTGCTTGTACATCATATACAACTGGTGGCAGACTGGCTCGGAACAGTTAAAAATGTTGACCGGCCACACGGCAAGACCCGACTTCCTCAGCAAGCTCACCTGGGTGTGCTACAACCATCATCCTCTAATTCAACAGATAGACACGGTCCGAGCTTTTCATTTCGGGAGCAACTTTCTAGTGGAGGTGGACATCATTCTCCCCAGTGAAATGCCGCTGAAGGAAGCTCATGACATTGGCGAAGCTCTGCAGAATCGGCTGGAGAGTTTGCCGGAAGTGGAGAGAGCATTTGTTCATCTAGATTACGAGTTCACACATAACCCCCACTCAGAACACAAGATTGTTTAGTCTGTGATATTCACCCAAGGCAACAAAATATTCATGTTGTAAATGTTTTGTCTCCCAGTTTGTCTTGATATAGCCCAGTATGCAAATTTAATTAATAGTTAGCCCTCTTCACTGATAATTGTTCATAAATGCTAGTTTTTTTAATTATATTGTTGCTGGTAAAAAATAATTTTACTATTGTGGAGATTAGGAGTGTCATAATACATGTACTATTTACTTGCTGATAATGAAATTTTTATATATATATATATATATATATATATATATATATATATATATATATATATAATGAAAGTTTGATACATATCAATAGTGGTTGTCAAAGATCAAAAGTAATTAACTGTCCAAAATCTTTAATCGTTAACTTGCAGTGATCAATCAAATCTTTATTTAAATCTTACTTTATGCTAGAAAGATAACATGATGTATGCTTGTTTTTAGTTTTGTTTTTGTTCCATTAAAATCCCCAGTGATCTCTTTAAAATGACATGCTATAAACCTAATGGCTACATGTACACCAATGATATTCATTTGATGGATGCAGTGTTGTTGTTGTGAAATTCTGTAGTGCACTTTATAAATGGCTCTAGTTGTGTTCATTCTGTAGCATACAGTTGTGATATAGAGAACTACATAGTTTTTGAATTTTGTTAATTTGAATTTTGTTATAATTCTTGTTAAATAAAAATAACCACATTCTTGTGATTAACTGTGTAGCTTTGAACAGATGTTTTAAATATTTGTATCGCAAAATAAATGGATATTTTACTATAATGATGTATTTAAGTCTTTGAACTTTGTCTTGTTGCAATTGTGAATGTCCTTTAATTTACATACATGGAAGTAATTAAAATAAGGATCTGTGTAATTGAATGTCCAGACTGGTAGAGTATGTTGTAAATGTGTAATTTGTATTCAGGTAGTAAAAGTGTTATACCCTTTGATATCTGTGCTTATCAGTTACTTGAACATTTTTTTTTAGCAACAAGCTAGTTTTTTTTTAAAAGAATGTTTAAAGAACCACACATGTAGATTAATTGACATTTAAAAATATACATAGATATGAATAAAAGCTATGAAATCATGCATACAAAAAGAATTTCAAAAAGCAATTATTTATTTTGTGAAAGCCCTTAAAATTTGTATAATTTCTTTAGTTAGCAAATATAAACAATAGAAATATAACCAGTATAAACCATACAAAAACTCATGTCTAACTAAACATGTCATTTGGATGACATTACCTTTTGGAATAGAATGATAAACATGTCTGTGCATGTCTTCACCTTGGTACAGAGATAAATCCACCCCTCTGTCCAAAAAGTAAACTTTACAGATATCTTAAACATGAACAGAAGGTGACTGGACCTAAGTTTAGTTCAATAAATAATGTTTCAGATGTAGTAATAATTTAGATAAACATTCAGATAACTTCATATGCCTATGCAGATAGCTGAACCATATGTACATGAGTTGTCTAGACTCATGTCAAGGCTAGCAACTTCCATCACAACAAAACCTGATTTACATAGATAAAAATCTCTTACAAAACATTTTCAGCTATTAAAGGGGAGAAATGAGATTTTATACATCACAAAGACAATCAAACCAGCACCAAAATCATGTAACAATAATACTGTTAGTATTTTGTCAGGTACATCCAAAGTTTTAAGTTAAACAATAAATGGGGCACATATAACAATTAAATTATATCATTTTCTCAAAATATGTAAGGAAACATTTTCACAGATAGTTATTTCTATTTTCTATGCAGAGATACTTTAAACATTGTTTTATTATGCTTAAAATAGAACAACAAAAAAATAATGTTATCTCAAGTGTTTAAAATATTTGTTTTTCTAGATAATATTTTTATGATAACTTAGTGCAAAGTGAACTGAAGGTCACATAATTGAAATAACTAAAAAATATTCAAAATTGGGGTGGGGTTGTTAGCTTTTAGCCAGTTATTTTTAATTTAAAAAGACAAATCATAAAATTCATAAAAAATAAAAACAAAGCCAAACTAGTTGATTTGTTTAGCAAAATTAACTTTTTAAACACTTATTATACGGCACTAGAATGGAATGTACACAACAAAAGTCTGATTACTAAAACAATAAATAAAAAGTTTGAATTAAGTGGATCTAATTATAAACTCTTAGTATAAAGTACTTAAGAAGTGATAATTACTATACAGATTTGCATTCACTAATCAATGTCAAAAGCACATGAACAAAAATTAAAATATACTTGAAGCTGTTACATCATTCAGCATTCTTGTAAAATGATCTCAGTATAATTACATTAAATTACATATAAGTAGCCTACTTTACAAGTATAGCTTGGAATCTGTTAAGTTGTTGAAAAAGTAAAGGTAGTATGGTATACTCTCAGAAGCCCTAGAGGCCCATATTACAAAGTAGAGTTTTTAGTGCTGTATAAGAATTTTATTGGCAACCCAGTTGTTTTTATTGCTCCAAGTAAGACTAGGATTTAATTTGGATAGTGGATTGAACATTATTTATTTTTGCACACACTAGTTTTATAACCCCATCCCATGATGATTTTATAATAGTTCTGATTACACTTTTCAGTTATAATTTTGTATAATTATAATCTTTATACATAAATTGAGGAACAATTATCCTCTATATGACCAGGCAGGCAATGAAATGGAAGCTTCAAGGTAAATGGAAAATAGTCCCAAAGACACCTGGCAGTCAGGTACCATCAGGATGGATCACCTGTGGAGCCAGCTGTGGAGAGCTCTGTAGAGCTGTAGGTGGCAGCTCTCACCCCAGCATGAGAAATGGGAGACAATGATTGACTTGAAGTCATTTTTCACAATAACAACTCATTTATAAAATCTCTCCACCGACAATTCATCTCTATTATTTTACTGACTATCATGTATTGATTTTTAGAAAGAAAAAAGGATTACACTTCTTTAACTTCAGGTAAAACTTTGTATGGATTCATGATACCTTTGGGATCAATGGCTTTTTTTATAGTGGCCATTAACCCCACGGCTGACCTGGTCTTGCTGTGGTAGATAAAGTTACGCTTCTTGAACCCTAGGCCATGTTCAGCACTGACACTACCGCGGTGCTTTGCTACCCAGTCATAGACAAATGGCTCTATAAGGTTCATGGTTGTTTTGTTGTACTCTTTTGTTGTAATGTTGAGGTGAAGATTGCCTGGAAATTAGTTTGATGACATTTGTTATTTTAGAATATATTTATATATAAATATTTTAATGTCATGAATGAATCCAAAAATGGAGTAAATTATAAGGTACAAAATATATCAATTAAAAATTAACCATTAACAATCGATTAGGAATACAAGCTATTAAGACGGTATTAAAGTTAAAAATTTTGATGATATATATAAAATGGGAAGAGGTTGCACTTCAGTTCTATTTGTAGAGATTTTCATTTGGTAATGTGTTTGCAGCACTTAATTATGGTTAGAGTTATAGTCAAAGTATACAACTCAAACATTCACATATGCTAAAAGAATCTCCATACTAAATGACAGTTAATTTTTTTAAAGTGAAAAGATTTCTATCTGTTTGACTGAGAACATTACTTTTATTAGTATTAAACATTACTTTATTGATATAAACCAATGTTTAGATTCTAAAAAAATGACAATGAAATTAAAACAAACAACTAACCATCCCCAACATGGCCGTAAGCCACCACACGTATGGCATGTTCTCCCAGTCTGTCCCTCATATCTTCAACCAGTTGGTAAAACTGCAGCAGTGGAAGTGAAACGTCATACTTGTAGCAATAGCCATCCACCATTAAAGCTTCAGCGCATCTTTCTCTAAGTCCCCAAATATTCTGAAAATAATCAACGTTTATGATATATAAGTGAAACGTCCCGAGTCCACCCAGCTCTGATGGGTACCTAACACTTTAGGGAAACAAAGGAAGCTGGGCATAGTGCTGACAACTCTATCCCTTCATATGCCGAGATCTCTGTAGCAGAAGAACTCTACTTCATCTGCCCCATATGTCTTGGGCAGTTAGCTTAATAGTTCAATTTTCAGTAGCGGACTTCTTGCTAGTAAGCTTACAGACTTTAGCTTTGCTTTGTCTGTTGTTTTAACAGAGTAAAATCTTGACCCTTCAATTATTAAGCGTAAGGACTTATAGAAGATCTTTCAGTTTTGTATTAGTAAGAGTTGGTAGTATAAATAACAATTGCTTTGATTATACAAAGTCCTTTTTAGAAAAATAAAAAAAACAGTTATATTTTAATTCCATTCAAATAAAAAATGTAAAGCTAAAAGATGCATCTAAGAAAGTAAAGCCATTCAAATAATACAAACTGCTTCCCAGATTAGATTAAACTATACAAGTTAAAATATGAGCCTCAGTAATTTAAACTGTGTGGTCAGATGGTAGGACCTACGACTGCTAAAACAAAAGGCTCAAGTCTGTAGGATGTCTCGGAGTTCATTCACCTCTGATAGTTACCTGGCATATGTTAGGGAAACAGGCAGCGGGGGACAGTGCTGACCACACAATCCCTCATATCCCGATGTAAGTAAAACAGATGAACCCTACTTCATCTACCCCATATGTCTTGGGCACAAACAGGAAAAGATGATGAAATAAAAATATAAGGTATATCCTATATAAAATTGATATCCAACACAACCTACCCGAATTTTGCCTAAGTCTGTAGCCACACATCCATCGAGTGCTTCGCCTTTCTCCAGTACTGAGTTCAACAAACTCATCAACTTCTCCTCATCATGTTTTCCATTGGACCCACTACACTCCACCAGTACATAGTGAGGATAATCTGCTAGTGGGCTGCTCAGTTTTAGGTTTTCTTTCACAAGGGTCATTGACTGAGAGTCCATGAACTCAAAGGCTGAGAGAATTTCCCCCAAATGGAGTTTACAAGATTTAAAGATCTCCAAAACATTTGAAAACTTTTCACAGCCTGAAAAATAGGGATATATTTCCATATTAATGTTTTATAAACTGATAAGACATCAAGCAAAATGTTATATTACATAAAAAATCAGTGAAAAAATATTTTAAAGAACATATTTTATGCATTAATTTTAGATTCTCCAGTTACGTTTATAGAAGTCTTTAATATCCTCATAATGTTCATTTTTCCACTAAAAAAATCAATTTATGTTTTTAATAATGTATTGTGTATCTACTATGATCATCATCATTCCTTTGTGGCCCCTGGGGAGCAAAGGGCTGCAACCACACATCTCGATCGGACTCGGTTTTGGGCTGCCCCCTTTATCTGTGCCCATGTGTGCCCATGATGCTTTAATCCAATCAATGCCAGCCAGGCAGGTTTTTTTAAATAAACCAACACATTAATTTTGGTTCAGAACCTATTCACCAAATATTATTCTACTAAAACCAATTCATTTTCTCAGCACACACAAACAATTAGTCTTTAAGGGGTCATCCATTTATGACGTCCAGATTTTTTTTTGGATTTTGGACCCCCCGTCCACAAAAATCCACTTTTTTTCGTTATAAAAGTCCATATGCGTCCACAATAGTCACTTATTTTCTGACTCCCCCCCCCCCCCCCCCCCCGCGTGTGGACGTCATAAAAAGTTAAAATTGTAATGTTCTAAAAAGAAATTTAGTCTATAAAAAGTATAAATTATATTGTTAAATATCTAAAAAGAAATTAAGTTTTTTAATTACCCAGTAAAGCAACAGTGATGGCTTTAGGTTTTTGAGGGCAGATAATTGAGACTCCAGTTATGATCCCTAATGTTCCCTCTGATCCAATAAACAGCTGTTTGAGGTCATAGCCAGTGTTGTCCTTCCTAAGGGTGGTCAGGCAGTCCACAATCTCTCCATTGGGCAGAACCTGCAGCAGATCACATCAGTATACACAGGATTCTGAATGGCTCTTCTGCTATTATTGAAATCTTATTTCATATAGTAATTACAAATGTAACTGGTAATGCAATTATAAATTACAAATTTAATTGGCAATGTAATTACAAATTTAACTGGCATTGTATTTACAACTTTAATGGTGTGTTAAAAACAATTCTTTTTCTTCTTCTTCTGCGTTCTTAATTTATTTTATGGTGGAGGATTTAAACAACAAGTCCAACAATTAATAAAATTAATAAAAACAATTAATAACAAGTACCAACTACTACTGCTATTTCTTCACAATAAACATTAAAAGAATTACACCTTACAAATATTAATAAAATAGTTAAACACAACATTTTCTTAACTTTCTAATAACTAATTAGTTACTGTAAACAGTTAACTTGCTTACAACTTCCAGCCCAAGAACTGATCCATGTAGAGAGCCGTATCTTAGCAGACGGATTCCCCCAGCATTGGTGGCGACATTGCCCCCAATATGGCAGCTGCCTTTTGCTCCAAGATCTAATGGCATGGTAAAGTCGTATTCTTGCAAGTACTGATCCAGGGTTTCAAGGACACATCCAGCCTGGCAAACCAAGATTCCTGTGGAAAAAGTTTAATCTACATTTTTAACTGCAAGAACAGGCTACTCCTTCTATAACTGGTTAATGTGTAAATATTATGTGTGATTATAAAACAGGCTTGAGTAGGAATCTCTTACTCTTTTGATTTTTAATGAACTCCAATAAAATAAAATAATAAGTTAATTCACAGTCCAAGCTTCAATAAAGAGTATGATGTGATATATAAAATTACAGGTATTCATTACACCTTGAAGCTAACACTTGGTCAACTGCAAATTTTTAACTCCAAATTTGTGAGACTATTGTAGAATTTACCAAAGTGGAGCTAGAAAATAAAACTTCAAGCTAAGTGTACATTAAAAAGTAATCACTACACATTTTATCATTTTATGTCAGATATTTCATATTTATTAAATTGAAATAAATTGTATTTCTTTTCATATCTTCATGTGTGATTCTTTTAAATTTCTATTATTTTTAAAATCTGTTTTGTTTATATTTAATTAATTTTCCCTTTTACTATTCTACTATAATTCTAACAGCCTGTGTGAAACAAAAGAGATCACAGTACATAATGTTTGTTATATTTTAGTAAAATAAAAATATATTATGTTTCCTAGTCACCAAAAGCAGAGTTCACTCAATACAAGTTGATTAGCACTGAACAAAAGTTTATTCCAGTGTTTATCTAATATTTTTCTAACTAGCCATTGATAAAGTAGACTAACAATAAACTGGAAGCATTATATTATAACTAGCTCTCAATAGATATTATTGTCTTAAGGGGATATGCTCAGCAAAAAAAAAACATGTTCCTGATTTTTCATTATAATGGGTTTGCACTTTTGAATACGCTGTCCATTTTTGTATTTAAATTTAAGAAAATAATAACAAACTGAGCAAATCCACTTCATGCCTTAATACAAATAAAAAATAATTCCTTACCAGAAACTTTGTCTAAGCTGATGATCTGGTTCATCAACTGTGTTGAAATGATGACTTCATCAAACACAGGGACACTCCCCCCTACCATACCGGTGTTGCCCCCCTGTGGGTTGATGGCCAGGTTATGTTCGTGACAGTACTTCACAAGGGCTGCCACTTCTTCCGTTGTTTTTGGTCTCAATACAACCTTGCTTGAACCTGGTCATTCAAATGTCTAGATTAATTACATACTCAATGCACAATACAACCTTTCTTGACCCATCACATGCTCAATACAACCTTGCTTGAACCTGGTCATTCGAATTACATAAAAAATTTGTGGGGATGGCCTGGCCTAGCGCTAGACTGCTAACCTGAAAGTCTTGAGTTGGGTTCAAGTCAGTAGAACGTCCCTGAGTCCTCCCAACTCTGATGGGTACCCAACTTACTAACATTAGGCAGCTGACCACACTATCCCTTCAAATGACGAGATCACAGAAACAAGTGAACTCTAATTCATTTGCCCAATGGAGCGTCAGGTTAAAAAAGAGAACTTCACTACATACAGAAATTCAGCTTAAAGAAAAAAAAAAGTTTATAAATAAACAGTTTTGTTGAATAAAGATATTTTATACAAAAAAAGATTGTGTGAATCAGTACCTGTTAGAAATGAGGTTTTAAAAATAATTCATGCTGTGTTACAAATACAAGAATTGATTTCATAATCTGTACATTGGAAAAAACATTTTCTACTGCTTTTACAAAAAAACAAGTAAAAATCCTATCAGACCCTGATCCACTGAGCTGATTTATGATTATGTAGAGTTTCTATAACCTTGATATATGAAGGGATATTGTAGTAAGTATTATGCCCAGCTGTAATTAGGCTTACTCTCCCAAACTTGAGTCATAGCTAGGTCTGACTCTAAGGTCCCAATAATGTCCCACTGGTTAAATCCAGAGCTAAAGAACTTTGGGGTGTGATTACATACTCTACCTTTGCTAACACTGGCAAGACAAGATAATTCTGTGGGGCTATTGTTCAATATTGCCATTGATTTATAAAAACCACAAACATGAATATGACAATATTTGTACTTAATATTTACCTAAAATACAAACAGAATGACATACCTCTAACAGTTTTCAGCCAATCAGTGTTGTAACCCAACAGCTCATCACTGTCAGTAATCACACGACCTGGAATCATCTCCTCAAAACTGGCAATATCTTTATCAGTAAGTGCAGAAAAAGGTCCTCGCTTCAGGCCTGGGTACCGCTCACTTGTCAGCGTGACAGAAGACACATGTCTTATATTGTTTCTATTTAAACATATTCCTGATGCATTACTGTCCAGTAAAACTTTATTCCCTCCATGTAAACTATATAGAAAATTGCTAGGGCAATTTGTTTTTAAACTTCTCTCTCCTTGTGTTGTGGATAATAACCATCCTGTGGAGAGTTTGCGAGAAAGCAGTTCCGTCTTTTTAAACAAGCTCATAGAGTCATTTAATGTTTGACGACATATACTGAGTGCTTGCATGTTTACTGTTTCAAGCTTCTGTTTACAGTCTGAGAGAAGAATTTTTTAAATAATTAATTAATAGATTTTACATACAAACATGTGTAAATACAGGCCTATATTTATATATGTATGACCCAAGTTGAATTGGCGATGTAGTGGGCTAGAGGAGGCAGAAAGGATTGGAAGAAATTGGGAACAGCTGGAAAGAGTGACAAGAGATAACGGAGTGAAAAGCTTTGATATAAACCTTATGAATGTTCCATAAGGAATGAAAAGGAACAATGATGATGATGTAGGCACCAACAAAAAAGTATATACAGCAAAAAAAGTAAAGACAATTTAATCCAATTATTAACTAGGACTAATAGTAATACACAAAATTACTTTAAGGTTAATCTGATTCAGGTATAAATTGCCCCTAATGCAACAATTAACACTCTAAATTCATAAGGCAGTAATTATCATTAATCCATTACTGTTGTGTTTTAGACATACTATAAAAGAAAGATAACGGCTAAATGCAAACAAAGAAAAACATTTAAGAAATACAAAAAAATAGTATAGCTGCTATATTGAAATTGCAGATAGAACACAAAAGGAAGAAGCACATCATAATAAATGTGAACCTTGTAGGAAACTTCACTCAAACTTACACTTGGTGTTCAAGCTTAAGTGCATGACTCATGGATATTTACTAAAAGATAAGTACATAGATACTACAGAGTCTAATATTTGCTTAGGACCATGTAATGAGGGGAAGTTATCTTCACATTTTATCTCTCTGTGTTTAGACTTAATGTTCCTGTCTGACCCTCTAACTGCTGTGGATTTATGTTAGGTAGTTTATCATAAGCTTAAGGTTTATAGAATAGAGTAGGCCAACCAGTTGGCCTTAATTAATATGCAACTAAAACTTTAAGATAAAAGCTTAGTAATCATGGTTAAGAATTGTTTAGGGAAAAATATATTTGCTGATGGACACAAGGCATGAGATTTTACCCATTGACCAATGGGAGGGGGCCCGCCCCACCCCTCCAATGAAATAAACTAATTATTAAATAAATGTATATATATAGCATTTATTTTAAACACCCTCTCCCCATGAAAGAAACCCTGCTAATAAGAATAATTTAACTGAGAAGTTTTACTAGAAAATTTTCTTTAATAGACTAGATTGACTAGATATAATAATCTAGTATTCTAGGGCAATGCATTTTTTTTTAAAAGGAAAGCATTGGAAAATTAGAAGTATTTCTTTTACTTTTAGTTTTGCATTTTAGTTTAGTCTCCTCATAACAACTCATTGTATTTTCTGCTTTTGGATTACAAGGAAAGAGCCAGTTGAATTCTGAATTAAATTTAGGCTGATTCTAGCTGGAAAAAGATACACAAACGCAATGGAGAGAAACTACCACCTTCATTCGCGGCAATGTTTTCGATGCTACTGCGCATGCGTGTGTTTACAAACAAAATGCAGAACCCTAACCCTATCCTAATCCCTAAACCCTAACTCTAACCAGAAGCGTACGAGGGCAGGGCGGGGAGTGCGGAGCACACCGGGTGACACGATTTGGGGGTGACAACAAGGCAAAAAAAAGGCAAAAATGTACAGAAGAAAAATGCTTTTTTGCCAGTTCCATTAATGATTAATTAAATTTAAATTGTCTTTTAAGTACAAATCGACAATTAAAAGGGGGTTGGGGTGACACCGTGACGTAAACACTCTAACTATAGAGAAAACAATGCTACATACAACTGTATTACTAACAGACTACATATACACACCATTACTATTAAGTCTGCAGTTATTTAAAGCTTATACTCATACCTGTACGTGGCCCATATTTAAATTATAAGACTATGTAGGCTGATACACACAAAAATTCATATAGATCTATAGGCCTATATAATATATATATATATATATATAGGCCTATATATTATATATATATAAAATTAATTATATATATAGGCCTATATATTATATATATAATTATAATTATATATATATATATATATATATATATATATATATATATATATATATATATATATATATATATATATATATATATATATATATATATATATATATGATATACTATTATACTTTGTTTCTTGGAGAAGGGGGTGGGTGACACCATGAAGTGTCGCACCGGGTGACACCCAAACTAGCAACGCCACTGACTCTAACTCAAACCTAGCGCAGCGATTACGTTCACTTAGTCTTTAGTGATTAGTGACCTTCTACTGGCTTCTCACAGAACTATTGGGTAAAACACCATTTTAGCGTATTTTATTCCCCGCTTGACGTTCACCTCCAGTTGAGCGTAATTTATTGTAAACACAACCAAAACATACAAAAACGTTAGGAAAACACAGACTACTTATATTTTTTTATGAATGCGATTTTTTATTAGAAAAGGTAAAAAAACATGAAAATGCATTAGAACTGTTCCAATTAAATATCGTGTGTTCGTCGGCGGGAGAAAAATCTTTACACGGTCGCGAGTTCACCGTGAGTTCACATTGACTTTAATTATCAGCATGTGCAGCATTAGTCATAGCTCGGGCAATAGCTGTTTGAAATTGTATTGGCCTCAGTTTTGGGGTCATTGTAAGTTCATAAAAGTTTATTTATAGTATCATGCCTGGGAGATACTTGTAACAATACAAACTTAACCGCCTTTGCAATTGTGAGTTACGTTTACCCGTATTTCACCCATCGCCATGAAAATTCTGACACACGAACATTGCACATTCAATATATATTCTAAATTTGGATTTTTCTCAACTTTTAACAAAAGTAAATTATCAAAATCTTAAACAAAGTCAGTCTCTTTCATTTGTTTTTTTTTTCATTTGTTAAAACAAAAATACAATACATATTAAATTATACATGAATACAAATAATAAATCGGAATAGTAGTGCTGTGCAGTAGACTACTCCTGGCAGAGACGGTAGAGATGTGCAGTGTAGTCAGTGTGTAGCCACAGAGATCTAGATTAGATCTAGATTCTAGAAGTAGTTATTTTAGGTCTAGAATCTAGATGTAGTAGATCTAGATCTAGTAATTACTAATTAATTTGTAAACAAATATTACAAACTTTTGTCAACACTCGGCAACTTTTCACTGTAGTGTGATTTTCTACTGCTAACGTTTACTCTAGATCTAATAATAAAAGTCCAAAATCCAGATCTATTAACCTAGTCCTAGCTCATTAGTAGGCCTAAGTAGGCTTATTAGATCTAGATACACCTTGCGAACATGAAAGCCTATCTTTTTAAGTTGAAAGTGTTACGTAATTTTTAATATTCGTTGCCAATCCGAATAACTGATGAATTTCTGCGTTAAGCTTATCTATCAACAATTTCAAAGAAAACGTAATCGTAATTGCATGGGAACACATCCATTAGGAGAGCACTAAAATTTAAGAGTAAATCACCTCCCCTTAAAAGTGTTGACAAACTTACTTTAATCTATGTGTTCCTTTGTTTTGTAGCTTTATGCGTACTTATTTTTATCGGAACGATTTCTGTTGCACCTAAGTCTCGAGTTCGATCCCGGGTTCAAGTAAGTAGAAGAATGGCGGCTGGGCACAGTATCCCTTCATAAGTTCACATGCCGAGGTCACAGAAAATAGTAAACTCTACTTCACTTGCCTCGTAGACCGTCAGATTTGAACGGGAACTTTACTAAATCTAAAATTTTCTCACTAGGTTGTAAGGGTATATAACCAGGGATACACTATTTTCAAGAAATAATTACATGAGTTGTTTCTCTTTGCATGACAAAAATCATCGAAACAGTTAATTTAGAATAGCAGTCAGTAAGTCAGTGTTTCTTCCAGATTTTTTTCTCCGGGGGACATTTTATATTGGGGAAGGGGGAGGGGGCCGACTAAAATATCAGGGCGGTGGACACTGCTAAAAAAAATCAATTTTCTATATAAATTCTATTTTGTTCGGGGGAGGGGGGTGGGGCGGTAGACGTTATTTTTCGTCTACCCACACCCCGAACAGCTGCATTGACGATACTGTAATAGCAGTAAACATCGCTTGTTACTCCAAATATTAATTTCAAATCCTGGTCAGGTTCAGGAATAGAATAGATTAAATGATCAATGTTCAATTATATGTATGTATATATGTATATAAATGGCAAACCTGTAACATTTAACATTGCCGAAATACAACTGAACCAACAACTTGCAATCTTTGATTGATACTTTGGTTAGAACACATTTTACACTATTAAGATAAAAAAAACCACTGTTAAAACATCCTATTTTATTACATCAAGTTTACCCGTAAACATAGAACAATCAATAACTATAACAGTAATTCATCAGAATTACGTCTCTACACACTGCATACTGGAAGTGAAGTATGTCTTTATGTTTTAAAACAAGCAACAAACAACCTAACAATAACAAGACAGAATCGTAATGTGAAACAGAGGCGTAGCGACCCTTCCCGGCGCCCGGGGACAAACTTTCGATTAGCACCCCCACCCCCTCCTCAAGCTTTCGATTTGCACCCCCCTCAAACTTTCGATTTGCACCCCCTTCAAGCTTTCGATTTATTTCTCCAACCCATTTTGGCGCCCCCTAAGGTCCCTCCCCCCCTTCTCCCCCCATCGCTACGCCTCTGATGTGAAAGCATTAGTAAAATACATTTAAAATACTTTTAAAAGTCAAAACAATTCATGCCTTCAAAAAGCCGCTGTTAATGTAAATTTCTTTTCTCTTTCTTTTTATTTGCTTTCTCATTTTACTTTGCCTTTTGCTTTCTTTAACCACCAACGTCGTCACAATAATGAGCAAAAGCACACACACCGAAATTATCACAGCCCCCTCTACGATGTAGTCGGGCATTTGGTAGTGGATCGCAAAGGCGTCCACGGTAAATTCCCCGTATGTGCACGTATAGGTTCCCGCGTCCGTTTCAGTAAAATTTGTTATTGTCAATGTCCAGTTATCCACGGTAAATTTTTCATCCGTGGTTAGGATTACGGTTAAGTTATTGTTGGTTTGGTTAATACTGCTCCATTGGACAACAAACTCGTCAGTTTCGTTGAGCGCGTCTTCGCTTACAGCGCAAAGAAACTCCACCGTGTCCCCAGATTGTGCGGCGACTTCATAGGGTGTGATGGTTAGCAGTTCGTCAGTGAGTATAGCAACACAGGGTATTGCCAGGATGGCTATCACAGTGGGAACAAGAAGAGCGCTGAAGACATACATGATTGATGCTTTGGCGAGAAGGTTAGGGTACTTGTTCTAGCGCTAGATGAACTATGAGTATGTCAACTCATGTCATGACATAGGTAGGACGAAACATTTTGACTTGACCTGAAAATAATAACGTTATTGACCAAAATGTTATACTTAAGCGTAAAAGTAATTAAGAAGCTTCAAAATTCAAAAGTGCGCTCTTTTGACACACAAAAAACAACCATTCAAACCATCAAATTCTCAACAAAGATATTTCTGTTCTTTTAAGGTGGTTGGTAACTCAGTACGTATTGAATGTATCTAAATCCAGGTGTGTTTTTTAATGGGTTGGGATAAAAATATAATTCATCATTATGTTTTTCCTTTCGTGCCCAATACACAATTTATACACATGGGACATATAAATTAGTTTGTTTCAATGCACTCGGCATACAAGGGGATAGTGTGGTCGGCACCATACCCAGCCGCCTTTGTTTCCCTAACGTGAGTCAGGTACCCTTCAGAGCTGGGTGGACTCAGGGACGACATAAAAAGTCTCCTCAAAACGAGATAAGATACCGATACAAAATAAAGCTACCCTTTTGGATCTGACGGCTGACAGAGCAGAAGAAGTAGAGTTCAACTGTTTCTGTGAACACTGCAAAAGGAATTGCGTGGCCAGTACTGTGGCTCAGCAACCATCATTTTCTCAACCGGAGTCAGGGTTTACCCAGGGGCTTCCTACGGACTCCAAAGAAGCGAATCAGAAATCATGTGCTCTACATCTTTGACACAGCGCCCCGTTAATCAGCTATATTTACAAACAAAAAGCTTCAAGATATCTTGCCGTGTAGCTGATAGTTTAAAATAGATTGATGTTGAAGGTTGCGGTTTGTGTGGATGTATAGATAACGGTACTGTCAACCGTAGGTTTGACGTATCATTCATGCGATATCACTCGATGATGTGTGATAATCAAGGGTACACTGTCTGTGTACAACAAACACGAGAATTTTTAAAAGGACCCCCAATTTCAAATTGAAATTTTTATTCTGCATTTTTCACAATCAGAGCCTGAATTTTACGTCTTGGTATAAAGAAATGGTAAAACTGAGTGTTTTTAATAATCAAAAACTCTAAAATGAATATTACAGCACCTTTCCTGGGGGCCCACCGAGAATTTTTGCAAGGGGCCAGTCTTTTCTACAGTCCGCCCCTGGTGAAATGTGGAGCGACCTACATGTTCAAGCTTTTATTTGATTTGACGTTCTTTGAATTATAATCTTGCAAGGGATATTCTCCAACACAAACGCCTATATGGCGCATAACATATTGACGCGCAATACTTAATTGTGTTGGAGCAAATGCCTTCCAACTTTACAATTACGGATGGAAGAGAAACAGAGCTGCTGGGATTTATCGCGAGACACCCCCTTTAGGGTGTTCTAACACCCCCCCCCTCCCCTAACACACCACTGTGAATACACTAGAGGGCATAGGTCAGCTTCAAGTACAGAACTATTCTATTTATACAATACATTTCCAAACGTATCATTTTTATAACACACACCACAACAATAACATTGCTATCGCAATATTCACCAAAAGTTACTTACCTAAACTGTAGTTGTACTAGCGTCTTATTATAGTCATCACATTCTAATGATAGGACGCCCTATCTTTATCACACGAGGTGGCAAACATATAATTGATAACTCAGTGGTTCTAAATCCTTTAAACTTGTTCCACTTTAGATGTGTATCTTTTCATCATTATCTTGCCCAAGCCACACGGGCAGATGAAGTAGAGTTCATCTGTTTCTATGACCTTGGTTAATGAAGGGATAGCGTAGTTAACACTATGTCCAACCGCATTTGTTTCCATTTACTGTGAGTCAGGTACCCATCAGAACTGGGTGTATTCAGGGATGTTCTAAAGACTCGGGCCCGGGATCCAAACTGTTAATGCATAAAACAATTAGGTAGGCGAATCCATTACCGACGACAGACCTATGCCAATACAGTCGAATAGCAATGCTTTTTTTGTTAGAGACGCGTTTATGGACATGATTAGGCTCAAGTATGTGTTGATAAATTTGAAAAAAAAATGTTTATTAATACCCACTTATATATATTAAATCTAAAACAGGGTAACAAGTGTCGACACAAGGTTGGGGTGTCACCCAGTGCGGGGCCTCATGGTGTGTCCCCCACCCTTGTCTGGATAATCAATTTGCAATTAAAAACCTATTTAACTTTAATTACTCATTGAACTGGACACAAATTGTATATTTAGCAATTTTTTGCCTTGGTGTGACACCCCCCTCCCCGACAATGGTGTCACCCGGTGATGTTCGCACCCCCCTTGACGCCTATTTATTAATCACTCAAATCTCAAAAGCAGCCTATTTTTTGTCTGTGGTCTATTAACAAAAACGAGAATCGTAGCGATGCACACACACATTCATTATGTCGACTTGCTTGATGAAAGGTTTTCAATTAATTAGCATGTGAATGAATCTGTTAATAGTTATTTCAAGAAACGCATAGGCTTGTAAAAGACGAAAACGCAAACAATGGCGGCTTCGCTATAAGCTTTTGTATTTCGAAAAAAAAAATATATGTATATATGGCCTATATATACATATGTATTTCGAAATTAATGGGGGGCAAGTTGGCCCCTAAACATCCCTTAGATTCGCCCCTGCCTATATAATTTTACCTTTTGGACTTGTGTTCGTAGACCAATTAAACTATTATTATAGGCAACAAAAGCTTGCTTTATATTATAACCCCTGATACACTCCGTATCATCCCAACTCCCGCCAAACTATCTCGCAACAAGCAGGTATGTAACAACCATCAGGATTTATCTAATCTAACAAGTCCTTGATTTGACACCTTGAAATATCGCCAGCGTTTTAACAAGCCAACTCGTTGCCCTGGCCAACATAGTAGCCTACAAAGTTATTTGTCTACGATTTCGATGTAGGCCCATTTAAGCTCGTACCGCCTAAATTAAAAAAAAAAAAAAACCAGTGTTATGATTTTTACTTTCTCGTATACAGAGTATAGAGGAAGTATTGTAATCGTGCACAAAAATCACATGAAATGTTGACAGTTTTCATCGTTTTACACCTCTGTACTTCATCATATAGGCCTACGGAGTATAGGGGCTTATTTTAATCTGGCAAAAATAATACATGCAGATTTATAAAAATTTCGGCGTTTTACGCGTAATCGAGTCGGAAAAACTGTACTTCTGTCCGTATATCTGTGTGTGTGTGTCTGTGAACACGATAACTTGAGTACCGTTACAGCTAGGTTGTTGAAGTTTCATATAAAAGTTATATCAAATTTGTAGTTCTATATCAACGTTTCAGCGATTTCCGGTAACCGGAAAAGGAACTTATTCTTTTTTTGGTTATTCAAAAGCATATAACTTGATTACTATTTCAGATAGATAAACGAAATTTCACATATAAGTAAAAGATCAAATTCTCTAACATCTGTCAAATTTTGAGTAATTTCCGTTGATCGGAAGTAGTATTTCTGATTTCTAAAAAAAAAAAACACATGTGAATAGTACTAATAACATTCCGCACTATTATACACATTGTTTGGCGTTCACTTGGTGCGCAATTATTTTTTTTTCTACGAGATCCTATTCTACTTTACAAAGTTAAAGTATTTAAACATGTATTAAAAATATTGTCTATATCCCGAGTTGCCATCCCCCGTTGTGTAATGTGTTATATCAGAATATTCGAGAAAATTTAGGGGAGATCACTCTCGGTTTATTACTTTCTCGTATACAGAGTATAGAGGAAGTATTGTAATCGTGTACAAAAAACATTTTAAAGGATTTGATATTTATTTTTCAATTATAAGTTGATCATCCTACACTATTTTAAAGATATTTTTTTAAATACATTTTTTTAATTTCTAAAGAAAAGTTACTCGGAAATCTTTTCATTTTTTGTTCAGATTTGACTTTTAATTAGGAATATTAAAAGTAAGTGTAAAAACATTATGCGTTACAAAAGAAAATGTGTTTATTTATTGAATTATAAAAAATAGTAAATTTAGCTATCGTAGTCCTATTTTAGGATAAGATGTAAAAAAAAAAAACAACAAACAAACAAAAAAAAAAACAACCAAACCGTTTCGAGGTGAAATAATAATATGGTGGCCCTGAAAAGGACCTGGAGAAATTCCTTTTTTTTTTAAATTGAAAGGGACTAATTTTCTTCAGATGTAAACACGACTTTCCATCAAAATGTGAGAATTCGATTACCAAGCCTACACGCCACAGTAAAATGTTCCGAGCTCTCGGAAAACTTCCCACAAGCTGAACAGGGAAGTTTCCGACGCACCAGGGGAGACCAACACAGTAAATATACTAGTCAACACTGGGTAAGCTAAAATAGGTACGGATATACACATACCCTAAAGCAATGTACAACCCAAACTAATCGAGCTCTTAGAAAAACAAAGTTCCAATTTCCATAGAGAGAAAAGTATCAAGTCCTTAGTGGAAGATAACATTTCACTAGATTCTCAATACAAATCGCCAAGAAAATTGAAATAATTTGTCTAGCTAAGCCACGGGTCGCCTGCCAGAGGACTCAGAGCTTCTCATAAAAACATTTCTACAGAGCGAAATGTCTGTAAGTAACCCTGAAAGGCACAGGTCATACGCCAGCGTCTAAGTACAAAGTACCACGTAGTTCCCAGGCCGGGCAATCTACAAGGTGTGTGGTTTAGTAGACGCGTGCCCCGCAAGAAAAAGTCATGAAAATGACAAGCGTGATTTACAACAGGGCAAAGCGGCAACAAATCGTTGCCGAACAGCTGATGCATGTAGATTAGATCTAAGATTTATTCATATATAAAGTGCGGACGGAATAGAAAACTCGTAAAAATGTTTACCCACTCCTAGTTCCTATGGATACAGCAGTTAATTTAAATTCAAATAATCTGCTAGAACATACGAGAATAATTATTAAAAACTGATCTATCCGTAAAATATGATTGAAAAAAAAAAAAAACAGCAACAAAACAAGAGCTCCATTAGGTTTGAAATTTACAATCAACGCGTTCATTAGAAGTGCGATTAAGTTTAGATCTACATCTAGCTAGTAGGCCTATACTGGTTTTTACTTTCTCGTATACAAAGTATAGAGGAAGTATTGTAATCGTGCACAAAAATCACATGAAATAACAGTTTTCACCGTAGTGTCAGCTCCAAGTCACAATTCCTTTCATGCCCGGTCAGTTTTGGGGTAAACCATTAAATCAAACAGTGGGAGTGTCGCCTACCCATCTGATCGTTACCCGCCCCGCTCAGGTAAGGGTGAAGTTATAATAACTAGACCTGTGGTATGACCAGTGGCGTAGGCAGGGGGGGGGGGTCATACCCCCCCCCCATTTTTATATATATAAAAAGTATGAGATGGGGGGTGGGGGTGCAAATCAAAAGTTTGAGGGAGGGGGGGTGCAAATCGAAAGTTTGTCCCCGGGTAAAAATTGGAACCTCCCCTTGAGACGATCCTGGCTACGCCACTGGGTATGACAACAGAGGTCACAAACTTTAAGTATCAGCTTGAGCGAGGCCGGTCAATGTCGATACCCGTGGATTCTGTTTATTCACAGGCACTAAAAAATGTCACTTTATTCAAGCCACTGGCCACATTTTTTGTGTGAATTAGGCTCGCTCAAGGTATTGATAATCTTTGCGCGGGATCAGAAAGTGACCGCTCGGCATATTTTTAAGTACTGCGCGGCCGCGATTAGTTAGAGGGAACACTGACCAGCACTCTAGCAGTAACAAACAGATCACTGTAGTCTGTTAGCTGACCGTGCAACCGCCAGTATTTAATCTCGTTATCTCCCCTTGTGGGTCGGAGTGGTCTAGCGGTAGAGAGCTGGACTGCTAACCTGTAAGTCTCGAGCTCGAATCCGGGTTCAAGTCAGTAGACCGTACCTGAGTCCATCTAACTCTGATGGGTACCTAACTCACGTTAGGGAAAGTAAAGGCGACTGGGCATAGTGCTGGCCACACTATCCCTTCATATGCCGAGGTCACAGAAACAGGTGAACTCTACTTCACTTGCCCTATAGACCAGTTTGAAAGGAAACTTTACTTACTTTACTATCTCCCCTTGTATTATGGGATACAGTCTTTTTTAAAATTAATTTTTTAATGATTGTCCTAATTTCTAATGAGATTAATGTTAAATGTATCTGAAAAATTGTGTGATTGAAATTGTTGCATTAGAAGAGGCCCAGATTTAAGTTACAAGATTTGCTTCATCCCACGAAGAAAAAACAAACAACAAAAAGAAATGTTGTGAACTTAATAAAAGCTTGTAAAAGAAGAAAGGAACAAAAGAGTTGTGATTTGATTTCATTTATAAGTGAAGAGTAAAAAACAATGTGATGGGATGTTAGTATAAATTAAGCATGAAATGATACTAGTGTAGGCTGTTAGTAACAAAGAGGTAAACATGCTGAAATTTAAATTACACTACACCTACAGTTACATTTCAATAAAATTTAGTAATAGTAATAGACATAATATAATCATAATATAATCACAAAAGAAAGGACTATAGATATTAGATAACAATCAATTTAATACTATTTGTAATTGTAATATCAAACATGACATAATTTAATAATGAGTGCAAAAAACACTGCAATAGATGCAAAAATAAAAAAATAAAAAATTAACACAGATTATTGCTCATACAAAGTATTATAATGCTGTTGTTGTCAACACAACATTGTCTAGATCACTAGAATATTGTGACAATACTTAATTTTATTCAGTTAATACAACAATTATTGCACACTAAGTAGGTCAAATACAACTGTAAGATTACAAACAGTGTATGGTCAGTTTTTTAAAATTTTTAAGGCATTACTAAATTGACAAAATTCCTAAATCACATAGGTATTACTAAAAATGACAAATTCCTTAAGTATCACAAAAATAGCAAGATTCCTAATATCACTTAGTGTTCACTAAAATGACAATATTCCACCATTATCACTTAAACATCACTAAAATGACAAGATACCTACATCATTTGAATAACCTTCTTGGATTTTTTCTTCAAGAATTTTTTCTGAATTAGAAACAGCCTTAAAAATTCTCCGGAAGCTCTCATAGCCAATTTTATGGCTGGCATGTTTGGCTTTATAATCATCAAACAAATCCTTCATTGTCAGCCCATATGGTACAGAGGTGTTGCCAGCACTTCTTTTATTACGGCTGTGCTTGGGGCTTTTGAGATTGTCTAACTTATCTTTTTCAAAGCTGGAATCTGCGGATGTCTCCTGCACATACCCACTTTTAAGCTGAGCTGTTTGCTGCATTGATTTAATGTACTGAACAACGGAACACAAAACTTCATTCGATAACTTGTGAGAAGGAGTCTTTTTCCCTCTCATGTCAGGCTGCGTGCTTTTATCCCCTTTGGGTGTTGTTTTTCTGATCGTATCAATGACACTGTCCCATTTGTAGCCGAGGGTTCGGAGAAAAAAATCTTTACACACTTCCAAAAGATTTCCGTCATCGTCAGGGAAATAGTACCATCGAGATTCAGATTTTCTTGTGGATTCTGGCTGATCCACCCGGCGCCGCTTACAGTCTTCTCTTTTAATATGAAGCAGCATCCACTGTTTCCGTTCATTGTAGTTTTTTAAACCCCAGAACAGGTCGTGAATCTTTTGTCGCATTATATCAGAAAATTTGTCAGTGCATTTTTTCTTCTTGCAGTTGCAAGGGGGCAGCAAGGGGTAATGGTCACCATAGTTTCTAGCAGACTTACCCCTGGCTTGTTTTTCTTTCTTTACTTTGGGAGTTTCATTTTTCTTTCCAATGCCTTGGTTCTGGCTGTTACTTCTGTCAGCCATATTAGAATCATTTTGTGTTTGATCTTTGGTTATGTCGAAATTTCCAGCATGCTCATTTTCTTGGTGGAAAACATTATTAGAATAAGAATTTAAAATACTAACTGAATTACTTTGATAGTTCTTCATTTCTTGACAGTGAAGGTTATTATATTGAACCGGCAAAGCTGTAGAGCTGAAGTTTTGGGGAGTTACAGGCATGAAGGTATCAATACATTCTCTACTGTATTCCTGATTATTTCCACTGAGAGTTTTGACCTGGGCTGATGGTGTTGAAGCCTCTGTGGCAGGGTACCCACCATAATTAAAAAACCGACTTGATTCTGCGATATGATGGAGGATGGATTGATACTGGGATGCCATTTGGTAGACCTGGCGTCTGAGGGGTTCGTGATTAGCTATGAGGTATGGGGGTAGTTGGTTCTGGTTGGTGGTAGATGGTAAATCAACCATCTCTAGGTGAGAGTTGATGTTGTAGTTGACTTGTTCAGACACTTGGGTAAAATTGTTTGGTGGGATGGTTGAGGAAGGAGTGGCTCCATAGATGTTGACTGGATATTTCATAAACATCTCCTGCTCTGTGATATTAGAATGGTCGTGCTCTAGCTCCACACATTTTGATAGGTGTGTGTTTGGTTGCTGTGGATACGGATACAAACAACTTCTGGGCTCTGGAACTGGGTTGGTATAGACATGCAAAAATGGTGTTGGCGGCAGGGGTGGTAAAGGTTGGCTTGAGTTTACATCAGGGTATGGAACAGAAGTAGAAACAGCTGGTGCGGCAAATTCCTGAGTTTCTGGAAAGTCTTCTGCACTTGAAAGTTCTACGTAATCATGTTCTGGTGTCAGGGGTGCTACAGGAGTGGGTGGTTCTGGTGCTTCATCTGGCTCAGGCACTGGTGGTAGATTTGACAACACTTCAGAATGGACACGTTTAAATACTTTTCTAAAACTCTCATACCCAAACTTGTGATTCGCATGCTTGGTTTTATAATCTTCAAACAACTGCTTCATAGTCAACCCATATGGAATCAAACCAGCAGGGTTAAGATTGTTTCCTTTCTTTTGATTCAGACTTTTTTGCTGATAGAGAGACTGGTAAGTCTGACAAACAGATTCGATGTATAAGGTCATAGAATTTAAAGCCTCGTCTGAGATTTTGTGAGGTGGTGGTTTCCTACCCCTTCTGTCTGGGGCTACAATTTTCTCACCCTTGGGTGTGGTTTTGCCAATGGTGTCTATAACACTGTCCCACTTATATCCCAGAGTTCTGAGAAAAAATGCCTTGCACACGTCTCTTCGCTCACCCTTTTCATCAGGTAAATAGTACCAGCGGCTCTCTAGCTTACGATGAGTGCTGTCAAGTGCCACCTTCCTTCTCTTTATATCAGCACGTTTGATGTGCTCAAGAATCCATTGCTTCCTCTCATTGTAACCATCCAGATCCCAAAAACTCCTATTTATCTGCAGTCTCTGGGACTCGGAAAATTTTTCTGAGCATTTTCTTTTGGTACATTTACATGGCGGCAACACAGGATAAAACTCACCATTATTCCTGTTTGAGTGAGAACAACGTTTCTTGTACTTCAAATCAGGGCAGTAAACAACCCCATTTAGGTTGTCATCTGCCGATGTGGAAGGCTTGAAAATACCACTTCCGACATCCAGAATGACATCAACATCTTGATTACACCGACTGTTTACAGCATTTTTAGGATCAGCAACTGAGTCGGAAACATTGAGCTCATCACAATTTTTCTTCAGACAAAAAATATCACCAGTAGAGTTTTTATGGTCCATTTTACTACTAGCCTTACACTTTTTATGTGTTTTCTTTTTTGCTTTGTTACCTATGCGTTTAAATATAGTCTTGAGAGTTCCATCTGACTTAGGGATAACTTGGTTAAACTGATTCTTAATCTCACTGTTATTTTCTGTTGTTTTATCAGCTGTAGTTTTTGATGATGGATCTCCAGCATTAGAAGTTTTACTCTCAGATTCTAGCTCAGCGTTGGGTATGCTTTCAGGGTCCACAAAAGTTTGAAAAATTCTACGAAAGCTGTGATAGCCCAAATTAAATTTTAAGTGCTTGTGTTTTTTCTTATAATCAGCGAAGAGTTCTTTTGACTTGAGACCTGGTAGGTCATCTATATGTGATTCTGTTATCTCATTCTTAACTGAAACATTATGTGCGCCTAGTGACAGCCTGACAGATTCTAAATAATCTTTTACAGATGTGATAATATGCTCCGGCAGCTGACGGGCTGACTTTTTTAACAAAAAATGTTTTTTTCTATCGATCGAAACAGGTTGTTTAGCTCTGGCTATAGTGTCCACCACACTGTCCCATCTAAACCCCAAAGTGTGAATAAAAAACAGCCTACACACTTCAACAGTTCTGCCGAAGCCATCAGGGAAATAATATTTCTTGGAAATGTGTTTTTTGTGTGGGAGAGGGGCTAATGATAACTTACTTTTTGAAGGTGTTTTTTCTACATATTTCATCAGCCACCGCTTGCGCTCTTTGTAACTGTGAAGAGCCCAAAACATATGGTGTATAGCATGTCTTCTTTCTTCCGAAATTTTTTCAATACATTTGCGACGTGAGCAGTTACAAGATGGGAGAATGGGATGTCTGTGTTTTTTCATTAGTGGAGCAAGGTCACGATGTTTGGGTATTAATTTGTTACTAGTATTTTTAGCAGATCTCTGAGCATTGCTTGATTTATCTATAAGAACAGCACCAGATGAAAGTTTACTTTTTCTTTTATTTCTACCTTTTATAGTTTGGCTACGACAGGCTTCCTCTGTTGGTGACGATGATGCTAAGCCACTTTTGCTTTGTACAAGACTATTAGTATATAGATTATAAGACTTGTTAACTTTGCATTGTGGAGTGGTCGCTAAGGCTGAAAATGAAAGTGATTCACAATCTTGTTGCAGTAAATCATCTTCGGCCATGCTGCCCTGCATCCTTGTCTGTCTGGATGAACGCCTTATTTTAGGCGATGTCTCTTCTGCTGATTCAACCTCCATTTTCTGAATAGAATTTCTTATTCTTTCATTGAAAGACGAAACACAAAAATTATTTTCATTATTTTTACAAGTGTCATAACTCTTCTCAGCTGACTTGGTCTGTCTGTATAAAATACTGTATTTATTAAAGCTCACTGGACAAGAAGGGTAGGTGGTCATAAAATGGGAATAAAGATTCTTAACAGAAAATCTACCTTTCGAAACTTGGCGTTTTGTAGCCTTAAAATTTGTATGTGGTTTTGCAATGCTGTCTTTATCACTACAATTTAGATCTTCATGATCCCTTATAAAAGAATGACAGTTATGTATTGCCTGCGATGTGCCAGCTTCTCCACTAAGGCCTTGCTTTGTGAATTTGCCAAGCCCTAAGGTCTTAAGAAAATAAACAGCACAAACAGGCACGGGGTAACTGAGTTCATCTTCTAAAAAATACTGCACTTTGGTATTACTTTTATAGTGGTGATTATGTGGTTTAGATGACTTCACTGGACTTATGTGTTCCAGCATCCATTTTTTCTGTGCTTGATACGATGGTATACTCCAGAAATTTGTGTAAACTTTAGTCCTGTGTTCTTTTGTAAACATCATATAACAGTTTCTGGCACAGTGGCATGGGGGTAGAATTGGAGGGTTTAAAAATGTTTGTTTAATATGTGTTGTTACTTTACTTTTAACAGATATAGATGCTTCACTCATAGTACTATCCACATCCATAACAGAATTGTCTACACAACATTTCGATTTCTTTATATTACCGTTTAGTTCCGTATCACTCTCACTGTCACTGTTGTTCTGGATAATAAGGATGGAATCATCTTCAATATTCAACTTCATAACTACCTCGTTTTCACATTCATTTTTTCCTATAGTTCGTTTACTATCCTCTGCAATAGATTTATAATCCATTGAAATTTGATTAGATAATGGTGTGTTGTTATAGTGTATGCTTTTAGCATAATTGTATGAGTTCTCGCTAAACTTTCTGCACATGTAAGCATTTCTGAGAAGAGTCAATTCTGATACTATTTTAAGTTTAGAAGATTCATCAACCAGAATGTTAAAATACATTTCCCTGAACTTTACATATGATAAACATTGCTTTGGATAAATTGCATGAAGTCTTAGAAACAGCCTTTTGATTATTCCATATTTATATCTCTGTGTTGAAGCTATATTTCTTTTTGACAAACTTTGACTGTACTTATTTCTAATATAAGTCTTGATAAATGATGTTACAAGACTAATTTCTTTTTCTGATGAGGTGCAACTTCCTTTCATACCATCAGAATGAAAGCTATTTCCATCCATTTTTAAAATCAAGTAATTTGTTGTAACAACAGCTCTAGACTTCAAATTTTATCAGTAGGTTCTATTACAATGAACCTGATGTCAGGAAAGTAAATTCTTGCTGCTGATACTTGAAGTATGCTATAAAATAAAAAGGAAAAACAAATAAGAACACATATGATAGATCTATACCACATACAACTTAATTAATGATATAAAAATAGGCATTTTTATATAAAGAATCTTGTACTCCTCCTAGTTACTTAGGCTAGCTCATCTCCAAATAGGCAAATACTGACAAATAGATCTAGAATCTAAAGGCCCCTATCTAGTCTACAATAGTTTACAATAGTAGTGACGGCTATTAGGGGCAGATAAATCAGTTTTTAATCAATTTGAAACTAATGGGAGGTAATTATAAGTTATGCTTGATCGTCTGTAAACTGTCGTCACGGACGGCTGCTTTCACGAGGGGGGGGGGGGGGGGAGGGGGATGATAATTATCCTTAACGAGCTACTGATAGTGTTTTAAAGCAAAATATTTTCAGTCGCAGCATGGTAGTGTTGAATTTTTTAAAAATTATGAATTTCTGAAAAGTAGAATCTATATATACAGTTCTCTTTATTGGGACCATGCGAGACACCAAGAGGTAAGCTCAACAGACTATATCACTACCAGCCCCACCAGTGTGGTGAGCTGTTTACAATCGTAGTGACAGCTATTAGGCATTAGGGGCAGATAATTTAGTTTTTAAACTATTTGAAATTAAGGGGAGATAATAACATGTTCTGCTTGCTCTTTTTATTGTCGCCTGTAAACTGTCGTCACAGACGTCTGCTTTCACAGAGGCGGAGTGGGTGAGGAGGGGGGGGGGGAGGGAGAGGGGGGTAGGAGTGGAAAATGAGGGTGAGAATAATCGTCCTTCACTAGCTACTGATAATGTTTTAAAGCAAAATATTTTCAGTCGCAGCATTGGTAGTGTCGAATTCACAAATTATGAATTACTGAAAAATAAAAATTAAACTAAATAAATAGCGACGTATTCTACGTCGCGGGTCAGCTCGTATAATAAAGTAAATAAACGTAGGGCCTATCCTCTAGATCATGGGTTCCCAACCTGGGGGTCGCGAAGGTCTTTCTGGGGGGTCGCCAACTGGTATACTAAACCTTAGTAATTTGAAACAAAACATAAATATTTAGAAGAATTTTTGAAATTCGGCTTCATTAACATCACTGGAAATGAAATATAGAAGAAACAAAGCGCACTGTACAAAGTTGTTCTCAGTCACGAATCTATGAAATCTTCAAAACTAAAACGTCATTCGGAACACACCAAAAAATATATGGAGTTCTTTCGTCGGTAAGAAGCTAATTGCAAACGCCAGAGACTTGATCGAACAAGAAGTTTTCACCAGCATTAGTGCAAGCATCAAATGAAGTCGCAATAGAAAATGCCAAGCAAAAAAAAAAACAATAGGAGAAAATCTCATCAAACGCTGCTTGTACGTAAATGTTAAATAACAAATTTTTCTTGAAATTAAGCTTTCACCATTGTTTGCTTTTCAAGTTGATAAATCAACAGACGTGAGTTCGTGTTCACAGTTGCTGGTCTGTGTCTATATTCACGTGGATGATATCAAAGAAGAGTTGCTCTTTTGTGAAGATAGCATGGAGAAAATAAATACCTTTTTTGAAACTGGATGATTAAAATGGGTTAGAACGGCTGTGGGGGTTTGTGCGGATTGCGCGGCATCTATGTTTAGCTCAAAATCGGGCTTTCAGAAAACAGAAAAGATTTAGCTCCCTAACCACTGCCCTAACCAATCGACATCAAGAGTCCATTGCTAGTATAAGTCGTAAATTATATAAAATCTGGAGCCTTCAAAGAACTGAGCAAAAACATTAATATAGATCACGAGGTTCTGCTCTTCTACACTACAGTACGCTGGCTGTCAAACGAATTGTTGTTGTGTTTTTGAATTGAAACCTGAAATCAAATTGTTCTTGGAAGTGCAAAGGAAACAAGACTTCTTGGTATACTTAAAACGACATAGAGTGCTTGGAGAGAGTATCATACCTAGCAGATGTGTTCAAACATCAAGATAAGCTTAACCTGAAGCTTCAGGGAAAATGAACGAATATTATAACTTTCCATGATAATCTCGGGGCATTTTCATCTAAACTGCAAAATCGGTAAAGAAAATAAATCTTGGAAATATTGTAAATTTTAGAAACTCTGCGGTGTGGTAGATGAATCTGATTGTGAGATAATTAAAATTTTGAAAGAAGCGATTTCTGGGCATCTTGAATCTCTTGAAAACGAACTGCATCGCTATTTCTCTGAGTTGAAAAAAAGAAGAATCTGCATTGACGCATTACCCATTCTCTTCTTCCCTTGATGTTGCCAGCATTCCCGATGAATTACAAGATGAATTCTTTGATTTGCAGAATGATTCCGAGTAAGATGAAAAACTGCAGACACAATTTTGGTGTAGTTTTCACCATTCATACCCAAACGTAAAATTGATTGACTTTTCGATAATATATTTTCAACACTATTCTTCGATTAAAAACAAAATTAAGATAATTATAATGACATAGGTTGGAGTTAAAAAAATTTTTTAATTAAAAAGTTAACCACTAAGGTTTAGTGAATAGTATGCTATTTTACTCATGCTATTAAAACAGTTATCAAGAGTAGTTCATATTGAAAGTCTACTAGAAAATCTTATTTTATTTTAATGCTTATTAATTTCCATACTAATTTCGGCTTTTTAATTCTATGGGGGTCGCGGGTCACTTACTTTTTATAAAAGGGGGTCGCCACTCGAAAAAGGTTGGGAACCACTGCTCTAGATTCTAGATCTAGATCTATATAATTTTTTTAATAATCTAATAAAATTAAACTAACTTTTACGTGGCGTCCTTTTGATGCTGATTATACTTTTATTATTTAATTATAGACGACTAGAATGTAGATCTAGGTCTAGGTCTATAATATTATTAACAACGTTACAAAATATGAATATTAAAATAAAAGTCAAATAACTTGTTTAGCAGTAGAATAACTCAGCGATTGAATTCAGCTTGCCAGATTTTTCACATAACTCAATGCTATCGGCCTATCAGGCTTAGTCAAAACAAAAAGGCCCTACTATTTGTTCCTAACGAAACATGTTTTTTATTTTATACAAATATAGATCAAGTGTACGATCTACATCCAGTACGAAAGTGAAACTTTATAAACACGAATTATAAAATCTAAAAGCTGAAAGTAAGCCTAAGAGATTTTTTTTATGTAGATCTGGAAGCCCCATCCAACCCGCACTAAAAACAAAACTATTTTATTATTTTAATGATTATTTTTTCTGTTATTGTAAATGAAACTATGATTTTCGGATTGTTTGGGTGTTCATTAATTATTAATTACAATGCACGTATACTATACTACTAGATATATACTATAGTAGTTTAATATAGATCTATAAGGGTCCTAGGGTGTTTATTTACAACAGCTGAATGGACATTTGAGAAGACCGAAAAGTGTTTTCCCTTGAACTTGAACTCTGACCCCCTTTTTTTTTGTACCTACACATAGCACTACCAAGGTCGGTGGTGCATTCACGTCTTTTTAAATAAAATCAAACATTGTTTTCGTTGCTAGACTCTACTTCCAACCTTACCCATCGAAGGCAAGTACATTTTTTACCTTTGTTGTTGCCTTAATCAAAGAGTAGATACGTATTAAAAAAGATTGCACCTGGGCTTCTGTATGACTAGCCAGATCTGAGCTACTGCTGACAGCTGATCTAGACCAGCCAAACTATTAACTTTATTAATTATTAGTATTACTTTAAGACTTAAGACAAGACTTTAACACTTTAAGTGAACTAACTACTACTAGATCTAGACTAGATCTAGACAAGTCTAGTTTTACACTTTTTAGAAAAAATTCTACCGCCCCCCCCCCCCCCGTAGGAAATGAATTTTATATAATTTATATAGAAAATATAACTTTTAACAGCGTCGTCCCCCCCCCCCCCCCCCCTGGAGAAAAAAGTCTGGAAGAAACATACTCACTCTGAGTTTTGATTCTGAGTTTACACTTTAAAATTTAAAAGTTATACAACTTGTAAAATCAGTAGTCAGTAGATAAATGCTACACACTACACAGTCAAGTGGACTCAAGTTTGTAGTTTTGTAGTTTCTTGTTGACTTGTAGACTGTAGGCCTACTCATGTATTGTAAGGTTTTGTAGACCTCTCCAGCTTATTGGACATCCAGATCTAGATAAGTAAAGATCTAGATCAAGTTACAATTGATAATCTGATAATGTTCCCCTTTGCTGCCTTGTCACGCATACCAGTCATTGTAAACCTCTGTCATTTTATTTGATTTTAAATTTAAAAAATAACTTTGTATAAAAGTTTTTTCAGAGCACCATGCAAAATACAAATGCTCCTTAGAGGGAATGTTGATTAACAGTTATAATAATTGATTAATTGTACTTAACATCAACTTCAAACATTATTTGAAGGTCCTTAACTTAATAGGCAATACTCACTGACAAAAAGCAGTCACTGAGTTAAGGGTAGAAAGGGATAGTGTTAATTTATTCCTGAAAAAAAAATAACCACCTCAAAAACTTTTGATAACTTACAGCTCACATGTTAGCCTTATTTTCTATGACAATTACCAAATAATAGTACACATAGCATTGTTAAGTGGCCTTTGGGTTAAGAGGAAAATGCAAAACTTTTCATACACTTTATAATTTGTAGTTTATTCTTCTATTTTAGATGGCTTGCATAGGAAAAGGCAGGGCATGGCTAAATGGAGCCGCTCAACTGCTGAATAGCCATCTTAGACAAAAGATGGCACCATCCGTTGCTATGGCTACTGCAGCAAATGATGTCAAGCCATTTTATTTTCAAGACATTTTAGAACAAACTGGCAAACATGATACTCCTTTCAAGAAACTGACAGGTTTTATTCTTTTAAATTTTAAAATGACATTTAAATTTTTAATACTGCACATTACAGCTTTAAAAAATTGTATTGTGTTATTTTGTCATTAGGTGATTACGTATCAACATTTGACGTGAAAGGGAAGAAAATTTTGACTATCGAGCCAGAAGCATTAACTTTGCTGTCTGAAAATGCCATGATTGACATTGCTCATCTTTTGCGCCCAGCACACTTGCAGGTATTTAGTAGTTTAAATCTTACGTGGGTATTTTGTATATTTTAACATTTACTATCTATAAAAAATCAATAAAACATAAATATACCATTGCAGCAGTCAATGGATTTTTTATACATTGAAACATTTCTGTCATTGACAAATAAAAAAAAAATGTTCTTACACAAATTTTTTTTTACTAGATAAGTAATTTTTTTGGTATTTTTTTTTTCAACACCTAATATATATCTTAACAATGAATAATTAGCTGTCTATAAAGTTAACATGCTCTTTTCTGACTTGAAGCAACTGGCTAAAATCCTGAAAGATCCCGAAGCATCATCCAATGATCGCTTTGTTGCCCTGGAGCTGATGAAAAACGCCAACGTAGCTGCTGGTATGGTGTTGCCTGGTTGTCAAGATACTGGAACTGCCATCTGTATGGGTAATTAAAAAAAATAATTAAGTTGCTATCAGCTATTGCTGAAAGTTAATAACTGTGTACTTTTAAAAGTAATCAAATTTAAGGAGACAACTAAAATAATTTATTTTGCTAAAAATTTGTTACATTTTTAACAAGACTATGCTGAAAATTATTTCTCCAACAGACAAGGGAGATAACCTGTGAAAACACACATCTTTTAAAAAAATGACAAAAAAAATAAGCATCACTAAAATATAGAATTTATAGTAGCATGATATTAAAGTAGTAGGTTTTGTTAAAATAATAATAAATCAGTCTGAGTTAATTAAAATAAATTTTGTTTCTAACAGGAAAGAAAGGCCAGTATGTTTGGACCAATGGGAATGACATGGAGGCCATAGCTAAAGGCATCTACAACACCTACACAAAGAAAAACCTTCGTTACTCTCAGGTGATAGCACATTTTTAAACTGCTGGCTAGAACAATATTGTTAAGGTCCCCTTTTGAACCTGATGGCAAGTGAAATTCACCTGTTTCTGTGACCTCAGCATATGAAGGGATAGTAGAGTCAGCACTATGCCCAGCCGCCTTTACTTTCCCTAACGTAAGGTACTCATTAGAGCTGGGTGGACTCAGTCTACTGACTTGAACCTTGATTCAAACTCAAGTCTTACAGGTTAACAGTCTAGCTCTCTACTGCAAGGCTACACTGTTCCCGAAAAATACTGTGCTAGTGTATTAAGTAGCTTGTGTAGGGTATTAATATCAAGGATAAACTTTTAAAGGATGTTCCATGTTGTAAAGTTAAGGGTTCACCATTAGAATTAGTCTAGGGGGATATTTTGTTATATACTATATCACATTTTTTTATTATTGCCCTCAGGTAGCGCCACTTGACATGTACACAGAAGTAAACACAAGGACCAACTTGCCTGCACAGATTGAAATCTATGCCACAGGTTCAGGGCAGTTTGATTTTCTCTTTATAGCAAAAGGTGATTTATAATTTTGACTTGATGAATTGATGTTTATTGCAAAAGTTGATTTATAATTTTGTCTTAATAAATTGATGTTTACCTGGAGATCTTGGATATAGGCACTGAATTTGTAGTCTTTGCTAGTAGGCCATAACTGTCTGACACATTCTGGCTACTTAAGGACTTTACTTAAAGCCACATCAACATACACCATTACTTGTTGTCCAATTACCATTTTGACAGCTGATGTTGATCATCATCATCATTTCCCGTACATGCCTAAGACACATGGGGCAGATGAAGTAGAGTTTATCTGTTTCAGTGACCACAACATATGAAGGGATAGTGTGGTCAGCACTTTGCCCAGCCACATTAATTTTTCCATAATGTAAGTCAGGTACCTATTAGGGCAAGGTAGACTCCAGGATGTTCTACTCACTTGAACTTTAATTCAAACTCAAGACTTTCGAGATAGTACTCTAGCGCCCTACCACTAGGCCACGCCATCCCATCTAAACAGTTTTCTTTGCATATAATCATTTTGTCTTTGTCTTATTATTAGTAATGAAGTACTAAAAAAAACATGCTTTGTCTTCTAATGTTTATCTATAACTTAACTTATATGTAAATTACATTTGATTAATTGATGCATGCATCAATTAAATGGTATGCACTAGACCCAATCGTCAGCCCTTATCAAACTAATTTTTCCATCTTTAGGTGGAGGATCTGCTAATAAAACATTTTTGTACCAACAAACCAAAGCATTGCTCAACCCAGAAAAACTGTTGGCTTTTGTCACAGAGAAAATCAAGGTATGTCAAGAGTTAAGTCTTTGGTATCGCAGTATAATTGCTTTTATGTGTTTGTATTACTTCCATCACCCTGCCACTGAGAAAAGCAGAAAGTAACCCGTCATTGAAAGTATAATGGCCTATCATCATCATCAACCCAGTGCACCCCTTGTGAAGCATAGGGACTGGACCACACCTATCCATTGTATTAGGTTTAAACATTTCCTCTAAGCTGGGTCCATTTCATTCTGGCTGCTTGTGCTTTACTGACATGATTTTTCCAAGTTTATTTCTTCCTACCTACTTTTTTCTTTCCTGTAATGGCCTGTATGAGAAGAAAAAAATAGGACTACTTTATATCGATATCTGTTTGTTTAAATGAATTTGTATAATGTATTTTTTTAACAAGAGACTGTGATTTAAGAAAATTGTCTATTTCAGACACTAGGAACAGCAGCCTGTCCACCTTACCACCTTGCGTTTGTTGTTGGTGGGACATCTGCAGAATTTACCCTCAAGACAGTCAAGCTGGCCTCGACTAAATACCTGGATAATCTTCCAACCACAGGTAGGTTTGGTTAAGGTTTGTATTACTAACAATTTTTTTTTTGGTTAACCCACTGATTTTGACTTGCTCTACACTCTTTTTCATTAAAACAACCCCATGTTTAAACTTTTAAAGTAACCTGAATTTTATTATTATTTTTTTGTTCTGAAATTTTGTACTTCTTTTCTAATTAGCTATAGAGATAGAGTATAATAATCCCAACAACTATTCTGTAAGGAGTCAGTTCATATCAATGCTTCACATACAAACCGTGTCTTCCATCAACATTATTTAGGTCTTACACCTTGTTTACACTTGTGACATGTATACTATACATGTCTAGAAAAAAACTCACAGCAAGTTAATGTTTTGTGAAAACATTTTTCCCCACAAAACATGTATATTTTCTTGGTGTGAGTTTTTTCCTCTAGACATGCATAGTATACATGTTGCAAGTGTAAACAACATGTTACTCATGTATATTTCAAATAAATTTAATATGCGTTTTATTAAAAATATTCTTATTATTAGAAATTCAAGTAATATATATAGCAGAAATTTGTGACTCATGAAAAATAAATACAACTACTATGTTTTTTTACAGGTAATGAACACGGAAGAGCATTCCGTGATTTAGAGCTAGAGAAACAGATCTTTGAAATTACACAAAAAATTGGCATTGGTGCCCAGTTTGGTGGCAAGTATTTCTGCCACGATGTCCGCGTTGTCCGTCTACCTCGCCACGGAGCTTCCTGTCCAGTGGGCATTGGTGTGTCATGTTCTGCTGACAGACAGGTAATTAATTAATTACTAATCCAATTTACTTATCTTATAATCTCATCTTTTCCCTTTTGTGCACAGGACACATGGTCTACTTATCATACAGACTATATTTAATAGAATGTGGATTATTTTTACTTTGTATTGTAATCTAGAACTATGTGGTTTCTGTTTTTCTGAACTAGATACAACTTCTAAAGAGAGCTAACTTTCTGATATGATAACTTTCTTATGCCAGCATCTCTTTGTGTTTCTTTTTCTTTGAATAGATTATTTTAATGTATTCACTTTTTGTTTTTATATTATATTGCCAGATTTTAGGAAAAATTACCTCAGAAGGTGTGTTTCTAGAGCAGCTGGAGACCAACCCTGGCCAGTATTTGCCAGAGGTTGAAGACAAACACCTAGGTGGAGAGGTTGTCCAGGTAAATGTTTCTTTAATTTGGTGAACTGTTTATTAACATATCTTTTATTGTTTACTTCTTTACTTTGCTTATCTCTTTATTGCTGGAAAGACGCTCCCAACATCCATTTTCAGTTATGTTTACATCTTGCATTTTTTCCATTTAGATCTAGTTGATTTTGTATTTTAAGAATATTGGTTCGTAAAACAGATATGAGCAAGTTTTTTAACACAACAGAACCCTATTGAGATAAGTTGTTGCAAAAATATTTACCAAAAAAGGAATTTTTTAAAATACTATTCTAATCAAGTTGAAAGACAAACGTACATTCATTTTCTATGAATAAAAAAACACTAAAAAATCTTAATCATTAATTTTACCAAAAGAAGTGAATTTTTCCCTGTGAAAAATTACTCATTATTTTTTTGTTTAAAACTAAGTACATTTTCTTTCTTCAATAAAAATATATTACTTAAAATTAGTAAGAGTTTGTAGAGCACTCAGATGATTAATTTATGTATGTGAGTAGATTTTAAATAAACAGGGAAAAGGTATGAGTCTTTATGCAGTGTTGGTTCTAAATAAATTAAGGGAAAAAAAATAATTAGGTGTTCTGTGAAAATAATTCCAGTCGTAGAGTTACAGCTTTTTTTGTAAAATTGGGTTAACAATTTGTATTTCATGATATTTACTCAATGAAATTATACTTGACGACATTTTACATGAAGAAAATGTACTCATTAGGTAAACATAAACAGTGGAATGCCTGAAGTTTTGAAGCAGTTGGACAAGTTTCCCATTAAAACAAGACTCAGCCTAACTGGCACACTAGTTGTGGCCAGAGATATTGCGCATGCTAAGCTCAAAGAGAGATTAGACAAGGGAGAAGGTCTGCCACAGTATTTTAAAGACCATCCTGTGTACTACGCTGGTCCAGCCAAGACACCTAAAGTAAGCTAAAACATGACTGATTTGTATACATATTTAGTGTGCCATTTTTAAAAATTCTTTTAAAATTTATTGTTGTACTTGCAGTTATATTTTACAGATTAACTTGTTTATCATTTATACATTTATTTTTTTGGTTCCCTAATATTACCAGTTCAACGCCTGTATTACATAGTTAAAGAACTTAAAAAGATGAAAAAAGATTAAAAAACTTGATTTATTATTTTTGAATTGTAATTATAAATTTTTAACATTTTTTCTATCCTCAGGGTTATGCTAGTGGCTCCTTTGGCCCTACAACTGCCGGCCGTATGGACTCGTATGTTGCAGAGTTCCAGAAGGCTGGGGGTAGCATGATCATGTTGGCCAAGGGTAACAGAAGTAAACAGGTAATTATCTAGCAGCACTTGTCAACATTTCATTACCTGTTTTTAAATTTTTTTTAGTTTTATAAAAACTTTGACACAATAAAAAACGTTTTTAAAAAAATTTGAATTAACATGGCAGCCTTTCCATAAGGTTAGTGCGGAGGAGTCTGCAAACCAAAAAAAAAAAATATGCTCTTTCAAAAAATCTTAATTTTAAACCCTGTAATAAGTTTTAAAAATTAATAATTTTCTATTTATCTAAAATTTATAATTCACCCTTTTGATAGGGCATGACATTGGTCTGTAATTTTGTCTCTACAATAACCGAATGTTTAAATCTGGCTTTAAATATTATTTTATAGTATAAGTTATTAAGTTTAATTGTATCAACGCAGCATATTTTGCAATAGTAATTTCACAACAGTAGTAGGTAGATACTGTTATTTCTCATCTCAAACTATTAATGTGTGCTTATTTACTTGTTGATGTTGTCACCTGTGTTTGTACAATAAAATTTATTTTGACCTGCTCCCAGGTAACTGATGCCTGCAAAAAGTTTGGAGGGTTTTATCTCGGCTCAATTGGTGGCCCTGCCGCCATCTTGGCCCAGAACTGTATCAAGAAAGTTGAAGTGCTGGAGTTCCCAGAGCTTGGTAAACTTTTATTTAAAAAATAATAGGTTTATGTTGATGGCAGAGAGTAAGGGAATTCTCCCAATAGGTTTGGGAGAAAAACTTAAATGCAAAAAAAAAAAAACCAACCAAATTTTTTTTTTAAATACTGAAACTGAAACATTTCTTCTGAATATAAAAAGCAATTTTACTATTGATATAATTATTGACTAAACAGTTATTGAAATTTATTATTAAAAAATAATATGTTAGTAATAAAATTCATAATTTTTTTTACCTAATAATTTTAATAAAAAATGTAATTGTTCTGTTAAAATTTATTTGAATAACATTAATTAAACGGTATACAATTTCTACTTTTAGTGATGCAGAAAACTAGTTTAGTTTTGCATTTGCTTTAGTTAATTGTGATCATCCACAGGTATGGAGGCGATATGGAAAGTTGAAGTAGAAAATTTCCCAGCATTCATTGTGGTTGACAACAAAGGCAATGACTTTTTCCAGAAGTGGCAGGTGGAAGGTCATTAGGTCATACCATGTGACCTTTCAATTGCTCAGTTTTAGTGTAATCTACTCGCAACACAATGTTCACAGTGGGACATTGTTTTATGAAAGACACATGCTAAATAAATCTTTATAAATTCAAAATATCTCTTCATAGCAGATGCGTTATTAAAACCTCAAAACAACTATTTGTGTTAATCTGGTAGATATTTTGAAGTTCTCTCTCACAAACAGCATATTGCCTGTTAATTAAATAAAGCCAATCATGCTTGTAAAACTTAGATATGATTATTATTTATAATATTTTACAGTAAAATATTCTTCTTTAGTATCTGCATAGCTGACATCTATAATAATAGTTTCGCTGTCTGTCTGACAAGAACGCTCTGTCTGACAAGAACGCACTGTCTATAATAATAGTTTCGCTGTCTGTCTGACAAGAACGCTCTGTCTGACAAGAACGCTCTGTCTGACAAGAACGCTCTAGAGAAAACACAAGCAATTTAAAAACATGCACAGTAATTCGAAAAACGAAATATGACGTCGACACATTTAGCGTAGAGTAGAACATAATCTCAAACCAGAGAGTGCACACAGTAATGTAATGACGTCATTGATTCTCGCGTAAACATTGAAAAAAAGGAAATGTTGTCTAATCTAAATGGTTTGCGTGAAGAGTTTCTTGCATACAATTCTTCGGGTAGGGGCGAAGCCCCACCCCCCGCGTAAGAACGTCTGAGCCCCCTCCCCCCCTCCCCAACTCAAAAGAAATTTCCTCATCGATACTCTATAATAAAATTACCGCCTAATTAATGTGTCTAATCTAAAAAGTGGTTTTCTTGCAATGGGACGGTAGACATGATTTTTTTTTAAGGGGGGGGGGGGGGTGGGGGGGGGTGGGGGGTGGAGGGGTGGGGTGGGGGGGGGGTGTGTGCGGGTGGGGGGGGGGGGATGGGGAGTGATGTGTGTGGGGTGGGTTGGTTTCAGTGTTTCTTTCAGACTTTTTCCTCCCCGGAGAGGGGTGGGGGTACTTGAAATTTTCGGGGGCGGGGGTAGAATTTTCTGGGAGGGGGCGGACACTGGAAAAAGTATATAATTATATTTCGTTGAATGGGACGGTAGACATGTTTTTTTTGGGGGTGGGGGGTGGTGGAGGGGTGGGGGGGTGGTGTGTGTGGGGGGGGGGGGGGTGGTGTGTGTGGGGGGTGGGGGGGTGGGGGGTGTGGGGGGGGTGGGTTGGTTTCAGTGTTTCTTTCAGACTTTTTCCTCCCCGGAGAGGGGTGGGGGTACTTGAAATTTTCGGGGGCGGGGGTAGAATTTTCTGGGAGGGGGCGGACACTGGAAAAAGTATATAATTATATTTCGTTGAATGGGACGGTAGACATGTTTTTTTTTGGGGGGGTGGGGGGTGGGGGGGGGCGGTGTGTGGAGGGGGTGGTGTGTGGGGGTGAGGGGTGGGGGTGGTGGGGGGTGGGGGTGGTGTGTTGGGGTGAGGGGTTGGGGTGGGGGTGGTGTGTGGTGGGGGGTGGGGGTGGGGGTGGTGTGTGGGGGTGAGGGTGAGGGGTTGGGGTGGGGGTGGTGTGTGGTGGGGGGTGGGGGTGGTGTGTGGGGGTGGGGGGGGGTGGGGTGGGGGTGGTGTGTGGGGGGTGGGTTGGTTTTAGTTTAGAGAAAAGAGACAGCACTATCAGCCTAGCGCCCTTTGTACCCTTCCTCAACGGGCCATTTTTCTCGTCTATAATAATAGTTTCGCTGTCTGTCTGACAAGAACGCTCTGTCTGACAAGAACGCTCTGTCTATAATAATAGTTTCGCTGTCTGTCTGACAAGAACGCTCTGTCTGACAAGAACGCTCTGTCTGACAAGAACGCTCTAGAGAAAACACAAGCAATTTAAAAACATGCACAGTAATTCGAAAAACGAAATAAGACGTCGACACATTTAGCGTAGAGTAGAACATAATCTCAAACCAGAGAGTGCACACAGTAATGTAATGACGTCATTGATTCTCGCGTAAACATTGAAAAAAAGGAAATGTTGTCTAATCTAAATGGTTTGCGTGAAGAGTTTCTTGCATACAATTCTTCGGGTAGGGGCGAAGCCCCACCCCCCGCGTAAGAACGTCTGAGCCCCCCCCCCCTCCCCAACTCAAAAGAAATTTCCTCATCGATACTCTATAATAAAATTACCGCCTAATTAATGTGTCTAATCTAAAAAGTGGTTTTCTTGCAATGGGACGGTAGACAGGTTTTTTTTGTGGGGGGGGGGGGGGGTGGAGGGGGGGGGGGGTGGTGTGTGGGGGTGGGGGGGGGGGTGTGTGGGGGGGGGGGTTGGTTTCAGTGTTTCTTTCAGACTTTTTCCTCCCCGGAGAGGGGTGGGGGTACTTGAAATTTTCGGGGGCGGGGGTAGAATTTTCTGGGAGGGGGCGGACACTGGAAAAAGTATATAATTATATTTCGTTGAATGGGACGGTAAACATGTTTTCTTTGGGGGTGGGGGGTGGTGTGTGTGGGGGGGGGGGGGGGTGGGGGGGTGGTGTGTGGGGGGGGGGGGGGGTGGGGGGTGGTGTGTGTGGGGGGGGGGTCGGGGGTGGTGTGTGGGGGGGGGTGGGTTGGTTTCAGTGTTTCTTTCAGACTTTTTCCTCCCCGGAGAGGGGTGGGGGTACTTGAAATTTTCGGGGGCGGGGGTAGAATTTTCTGGGAGGGGGCGGACACTGGAAAAAGTATATAATTATATTTCGTTGAATGGGACGGTAGACGTTTTTTTTTTGGGGGGGGTGGGGGGTGGGGGGGCGGTGTGTGGAGGGGGGTGGTGTGTGGGGGTGAGGGGTGGGGGTGGTGTGTGGTGGGGGGTGGGGGTGGGGGTGGTGTGTGGGGGTGAGGGGTTGGGGTGGGGGTGGTGTGTGGGGGTGGGGGGTTGGTTTTAGTTTAGAGAAAAGAGACAGCACTATCAGCCTAGCGCCCGTTGTACCCTTCCTCAACGGGCCATTTTTCTCGTTGTTTTAGAATTTAGAATTTAAAATTAACAATTATTTATTGTATAATAATTTATTTTAAAACAGTCATGATTGAATCTCCTCATGTGACAATGAAAGTTACTGTATAAAGAACAGGCTACTTTATATGTAGTTTGTTTTATTTGTCATCTTTAGTAATGTCCAGAAAATAGAACTCATGTATCAATGACATTTTTTTGAAAATTATTGCAAGCATATAGCAACAAATATAATACTAAAAAAATTTGATGTACATTCATGTGTAGAATTTCTTCAATGATAAAATTTGGTTATTGAATTTTATTATTGTATTAGGTATAAGAAAGATTACGTGATATCATGAATAAACTTAATCTTAATAAAGGTTACAGTTAGTGTTCTTTTAGTTTTTATTTTTAAAAAAAAACATTACAAATGAAATAAAACTTGAATACATGTTTTAATGACATTATATTTTTTTATACTGTATTTATAGAAATAAACTTTCTATGTGTGTACTGTTAATAAAATAATAGGCCAAATGATCTAATTTATTATATAGACATTGTGGCTATAATGTGATATTTGCAATAAATCTCAAATCTCAAAAGAGTCGGACAGTTCAAATAAAGTTAAACGCCTTTCTATTAGTTCCGTTTTTCGAACGTGACGGTCCAGGGGCAAGAGTTCATCTGCTTCTATTACCTCGGCATACGAAGGAGTAGTGTCGTCAGCACTATGCCCAGCCGCCTTTATTTTTCCCTAACGTGGGTTAGGTACCCAGTATAGCTGGTTGGACTCAGGGACGTTCTACTGACTTGAATTCAGATTCGAACACGAGACTTTCGGGTTAGCCGTCTAGCGCTCAACTGCCAAGCCGTGCCACAAAACGCCTTTCTAGGCATAGGTTTATTATGCAGATCAATCTCGGTTTTCCCGATATTATTATAAATTTCTGAAAATGTTCTAGAAGACGCCATCTTGTATGCAAACGGGGTGCATGTTTCTGTGTAATTAAGACAGGTGAGATAGGCTAATTAATCTTTTGGCTAATTTTAAAACAAAATAGATAAATACACTACATTTAGGTTCTAATAATTCTGTAACTATTGATCAATCTTTTTACGACTGGTTTACCTAAAATCTTAGCGACCAACGATATAAATGTATTGACCAAGGATTTAATTTTATTGATTTGGCATGCCATAATGATAGGTTACAGCAAGTCTTTATGGCTAATTATTTTAGTATAGTTATAAATATACTGGGTAAAATAATTTAACTACTTAGTTCTAATAGATTAAGCTTTCACATTATTTTAACGTTAAGAAATGTATTATTGAATAATGGGTTTTATACCAAATTTTGATTTGTTATCTTCATAAAAAAGCAGCGGTTTCTTAACTTTATGAAGCAGCGCAATCCTTGAATATATATATATATATATATATATATATATATATATATATATATATATATATATATATATATATATATTATATATGCCATAATGTTTATAGTCATTAATTAACAATTACCGTTATTGGTTCACTCTTTCGTGGTTGAATAATTATGAAATTAAAGAAAAAGAAATTAATGAAAAGTGAAAATCATCCAACGAGGTGAGAGCTAATAAAATGCCGACGTTATTTCCATCTGTGTACCGGAAAACAAAAACGTTATTTTGATCTGTGTGTGGCAGGGGTTCCCAAACTTTTTTTACTCTAGAGCACATTCTAAAATATCGGTAGGGTGGCAGGCACCACCTATTTTAAACTCCTTCCAGAGGCGTAGCGACCCTTCCCGATTTGCACCCCTCACCTCAAATTTTCGATTTGCACACCCCCTCAAACTTTCGATTTCCATCCCCTTCAACCTTTCAATAATGTTTATGAAAAAAATTCTGACTCTGTCGAATAGTGAGAGGCGGGCACATACGAATCGTTCGGCGGGCGCCATGGCGCCCGCGGGCACGGGGTTGGGAACCCCTGGTGTATGGGAAAACAAAACGTTATTTTTTCCGAAGAAATATCGCTGTTTAAAAAAAAAAAAAATGAGACGACTAGAGGCCCCGTTCCAGGGAGCCGCGCTCCCAATTTCAAAAATCGCCCACACGCGGACATCGGAGTATTTGATGTATACAATAATTTATCATAAAGAACAGGTTAAAGCCTTGTAGATGAATAAAAAAAGGAAGAGAATATGGGCCTTGATTGGGCACACTCTACGAATCTGATACCAGCATCACCAGACAAGTGGAACTCATATGGCACGCTAAGGAAAGGCCGTCAAAGAATAGCATTTGAAACTGGAAAAAACTAAATAGGGTGACTAAAAACAGAGGACTACTGAGATCTTCGCTAGGCGGCCCATCGCCAGCATAGAATGACGTGCTGTAAATAAATAAATAAAAGTAGAAGCTAGATCTGTTGGCACGACAGGCAATAGAGTCCTTGCATATAACGTCACGAATCGTTCAGTATGTAAACATCCGCCATCGCGATGTACAGGTCCAAATTCAAAAGGGCGATCTGAGCTGTGAAAGGTTGTGATACTCGAAGTGGTAGATGTAAAGGGATTCCTTTATTTTGACTGCCAAGGTTATATTAAACCAAGGCGATAGAGATCGGCAGTCAACGGAACGTGGACGCTGTCAATATTTAGCCAATAAGTGCAAGGATGTACATGGACGACACAGTAAAGCGGTGGTTTCTCAACCGGAGGGAGCGTCTCCTAGTGGAGACACAGACTAAAACTATAATAGACGCGAAAAGTTGTTCAGAGTGTACAATAGATAATAAAAAAATAAATAATAATAGACAGTTATAATTAAAAGCATATATATTGTATATATTAGGAATGTAACATCACAGTATACTTGTTAAGAAATGTGGTTTAAAATGCCTGCGTTGTACCAATTATCTTATTGCAAATCTAAAAGAAACACGCTAGTTTGTACATAGGGCCTATATGTATATACATGTTCTAGCTAGACTACACTAAATCTAAAATAAATCTAGGTTACCTTATATATGCTACATTTAGCCTAGTATGTAGGCGCTTGGATCCTACACACTAACTTAATCATACATTTATAACAAACATTCTCAGTTCTCAGATAGTAAAAACTATGCCACTTCTCTGAATATTTATAGTTGTATGAGTTCAAGGATGCTAGAAGCCTCAAAATTTATAGTTATGTGCTTAGTGATTGCCCAACATGCTGTACCAAGTGAGTCATAATTTTGCTAACACGTTTAGTGCTTTACTAACACGTATTTTTTTGGAAAATCCTTACGTACTGTAACCGGAAATTCCCAAAATATGACTTACTAGTTCTTTATCGTCAGATCTTTTTATTTGTAATCAAATATGATCGTACTAAAACATTAGGTATAGGGGTCATCCATAAATGACGTCACGATTTTTTGGACGATTTTTACCTTACCCCCCCCCCCCCCCCCCCCCCGCCACACACCGTCACAAAAAGCCAGACCTCCCTAAAATGACGTCACACCTCAGCCTAACCCCCTCCCCCCTCAAAATTGCAGTTTAATTTTTCTTAAAACATCGAAATTTTTCCAAAATCTTGTCTGAACTCTGTCAACATTTTAATCAATTCCTATTACAATTTATTAAAAGTTTTCTAAAACGCGAAATAACGGCTAAAACAAGTTTTCTAATATTGCTTTTATATAATGCAAACGTGTGACGTCACATCATCTAACCCCCCCCCCCCCTCCCCCTCATCACACACCGCCACAAAATTACGGACCCCCTCCCCTTTATGAGTGTGACGTCATTTATGGACAACCCCATATGATAAAAGTAAGGCAGGTCCTTAAAATCATGTTTAGTGGTCAGTTTTCGTGTTTCCTCAATGCTAATGTTTAGCAGTGTTTCTGTAATTAAAAAAAAAACAACCAACAGCTACTATGAATTACCCTCCCAATAAAACACTATTAGATCTACGAGAAAGCATATCGTTCCTAATTAACATTTAGTCATGTTCTAAAATTGATTTGACTCCTGAACGCAATACATTGATGTAGATTAGCCCACTTGGTCATTGTCCAGTTGACAAGAGACTAACTTCTGTGTTAATTTGTGCCAACCATTGTGAAAAATCGAGACATACATCAAACGGACAACATCGACGGAGCTACATAAATAAAAATATAATATTACTCACTAATTTGTTTCACACATTAAAAAAAAAAACACACCACCATTAACACATTGCTTCATATTCAAATAAATACTTCTCTTCCTTTCGCATTTACGTTTTCTAAATATTAAATTCAGCCGGAGCACAGGAGCTAACAAAAGAGCAACGTGAGGCAGAGATGATTAACTGTTACAACAAAGGTAACGTCTTTTGCCCTAAGTATGGACTATGCTGTGAGAGGACTGACTTTTGCCACGAGGGTACATGCGAATCCTGTTTTCCCGTGAACATTACAAACATATCAAGACTTGAGTTCTGTCGACAGTTAATAAATAAAAAAGCAACGCTTACCTTAAGAGATCCTACCTGTGATAATCGAACAGTATGTCACGACCTGCTCATTTCAGGTACGGTATTACGTTAAGGGTTACAACATGTCTGTTTAAAACTTGAAGTATGTATTATAGAATACTGTTAAAATATTGACAATAAATTGTGTGCAACACGGTGTCCAGGTATACAGGTTATTTACAGATATTCACACAAACTAATGTGCTAAAGCTTGACCAGAAATAGTGATTGGTCTGACTACACCTCAAGTAATGATGTTTAGCCGATACCTTATCACAGAAACAAACATATAATTGTAAATCTTCCAGTCTTTAAAAGGATGTCATTCCTGCTTAGTTGCTCATGTTTATTTTACCAAATTTAGTCAACCGACAATAAAGTTCAATTAATGTTTGATTGATACAACGGACGCACACGTAGAGTATCCAAATCAACATAGTCAATATTACGTAAAGCCATTACTACTTTGTCTAAACCACGGGTTCCCAACCTGGGGGTCGCGACCCCCCTGTGGGTCGCGAAGGTCTTTCTGGGGGGTCGCCAACTGGTATTCTAAACCTTAGTAATTTGAAAACAAAACATAAATATTTAGAAGAATTTTCGAAATTCGGCTTCATTAACATCACTGGAAATGTAATAGAGAAGAAACAAAGCGCACTGTACAAAGTTGTTCTCAGTCACGAATCTATGAAATCTTCAAAACTAAAACGCCATTTGAGACGAGTCATTCGGAACACACCAAATAAAATATGGAGTTCTTTCGTCGGTAAGAAGCTAGTTGCAAACACCAGAGACTTAATCGAACAGGAAGTTTTCGCCAGCATTAGTGCAAGCATCAAATGAAGTCGCGATAGAAAATGCAAAGCAAAAAAAAAAAAAAAAAAAAAAAAAAAAAAACAATAGGAGAAAATCTTATCAAACGCTGCATGTACGTAAATGTTAAATAACACATTGTTATCGAAATTAAGCTTTCACCATTGTCTGCTTTTTAAGTTGATAAATCAACAAACGTGAGTTCGTGTTCGAAGTTGCTGGTCTGTGTCTATATTCATGCGGATGATAGCAAAGAAGAGTTGCTCTTTTGTGAAGATAGCATGGAGAAAATAAATACCTTTTTTGAAACTGGATGATTTAAAATGGGTTAGAACGGCTGTGGGGGTTTGTACGGATGGCGGGCCATCTATGTTTAGCTCAAAATCGGGCTTTCAGAAAGCAGAAAAGATTTAGCTCCCTAACCACTGCCCTAACCAATCGACATCAAGAGTCCATTGCTAGTATAAGTCGTAAATTATATAAAATCTGGAGCCTTCAAAGAACTGAGCAAAAACATTAATATAGATCACGAGGCTCTGCTTTTCTACACTACAGTAAGCTGGCTGTCAAACGAAATGTTGTAAATTGGTTTTTGAATTGAAATCTGAAATCAAATTGTTATTGGAAGTGCAAAGGAAACAAGACTTTTGGGTATACTTAAAACGACATAGATTGGTTGGAGAGAGTATCATACCTAGCAGATGTGTTCGAACATCAAGATAAGCTTAACCTGAAGCTTCAGGGAAAATGAACGGATATTATAACTTTCCATGATAATCTCGGGGCATTTTTATCAAAGCTGCAAAATCGGTAAAGAAAAGAAATCTTGGAAATATTGTAAATTTGAGAAACTCTGCGGTGTGATAGATGAATCTGTGAGATAATTAAAATTTTGAAAGAAGCGATTTTTGGGCATCTTGAATCTCTTGAAAACGAACTGCATCGCTATTTCTCTGAGCATTACCCATTCTCTTCTTCCCTTGAAGTTGCCAGCATTCCCGATGAATTACAAGATGAATTCTTTGATTTGCAGAATGATTCCGAGTAAGATGAAAAACTGCTGACACAATTTTGGTGTAGTATTCACCATTCATACCCAAACGTAAAATTGATTGACTTTTCGAGAATATATTTTCAACACTATTCTTCGATTAAAAATAAAATTAAGATAATTATATTCATAGGTTGGCGTTAACAAAAAAAAATTAATTAAAAACTTAACCACGAAGGCTTTGTGAATAGTATGCAATTTTACTTATGCTATTAAAATAGTTCATATTGAAAGTCTACTAGACAATCTTATTTTAGTGCTTATTAATTTCCATACTAATTTCGGCTTTTTAATTGTATGGGGGTCGCGGGTCACTTACTGTTTATAAAAGGGGGTCGCCACTCGAAAAAGGTTGGGAACCGCTGGTCTAAACCTTCTGCATGAAAATTTGTCTAAGTCAAATGGCCCATGATCTCTGTTTTGAAAAACTTGCTGCGGCAAGCCATACCCAAATAGTTGTGAAAGGGGCATCGCGATGGTGTTTCTGGAAGAGCTTTTACTTTCTCGTATATACGAAGTATAGAGAAAGTCTTGTAATCGTGCAAAAAAAAAAAATCGAGATTTTTAAAAATGTTACCAGTTTTGAAAGAAAGCCACTTTTCATATTGTAATGTGTAATATACTTAAACATTTTGAGATATGTAAATGTACTAGCCACTTATTTTACACCCAGCTAAAAACATTTATAGGGAGGCATGGTCGAGTGGCTAACTCAAAACTGTCGAGTTCGGTTACCGCGCTGTACATAAGTGTTATACCTGGGGACTTCTAGATAGGTAGTGAAGGGTTTCACCTTAGAGTTCCACTATCAAACTCATTTCAATATAATTTCACACATAGATAGAGATAATAACGAGACACACATCGCCGATGTAGTTTCTTGATTCTTTTTTCTCATGCTTAATATAATAGATAGTACTGCCACTTAGTAAACGACGTTCTCAATCTAGACGGGACTTGAAAATAATGACCACTGTAAACGACGACGACACAAAACTCTCCTCTCCCCAACGCAACAAGACGTAGACTTCCCCAGCAACAACGCTGCTACACCACAACATCACATCCTTGCTTACCGTGTCACAAAGTCATGATCGTTTATGTATACAAAATCCTTTCACGACAATATTAGCTGTAGTATTTGGATTCTTGGTATTTACAAATAGGCTCATGTCTCTGTTTTGAAAAACTTGCTGCAGCATGGTTAACAAATAAAATATAAAAATTAAAGTAAAAATAAAGGGCTGACGAAGTGGAGTTTAAATTTCTGTAACTTCCGCAAATACTTGGATCAGTTCTATGCCCACAAGGCTTTATTTCACTAAAATAAATAAAGTACCCATCAGAGTTACATGGATTCCGTGAGCCAGACTTTCGGGCACTCTACTACTACTACTCGACCATGACTCTAGTAGACAGAATAATATAGACTGGGTATCATTTAACGAACTAGGTTTATTTCTCACAATGCTATTTTACATATATTTAAAAATATTTAATGCAACCAGCATTCGCTAGATGATCATGTTTTTATCTATAGAACAAGAAAAGCTTTTGAACACTGCAAAAAACGTAAGTAAGACATTATTTGTCAAATATTTTACCTTAAGAGTAAAAAACGCTTTGCTATAATAATGTACAAATAAGTGGAAAAAAAAAAGATTTTTGTTAGATATATAATAACAAACGAATGGGTCCGTTTTGAAGTGGTCGAAGTTTCATCCCATAAGACAAAAGCACGAAAAAAGTACGACAGAGGAAGCAAAGGGAATAAAAGCGTGTAAAATTTAATAAAAACGTTTTAATAACATGCTTTTGTATAAGTATGCACTAAAAAAGAGACGATAAATGATTTTCTTTAAATGTATAATATTGCTCTACTATTTAAATAACTATAAAGAATAGCGTGGGTTGCTTCTTAAATTTTAGTAAAGGTAGTAAATAGTTAATATAGTTGGTCAAAATGTGGTCGCCCACGAAACTATAATAAATGTATTGAGTACATAATATAGCGACACACGTTTTTCTTTATAGGTACTTAAATAGTTTGGCATTATTATTTATTTAATTGAAGAAGATAATTTAATTTAATTTATTTTAGTGCATAAAAGCCTGTTATTACAAGCGATTTTTATAAATTTAAAAGAAAATATTTAATGTCTGATTTTTACTTTATTTATAGCTAATTATACTCAGTATAATGAAAAGAAAGCAAGTGCACAAACATACACTATGGCACCACATTAGTATGAGTGCAAAACTAAAATATCCATCCATGAATAGTTGAGATGACAAGAGAGTAAATTAATAAAAAAAAAAGTTTAGTCGTGGGCGGTTTCAACAGACAACTTGACCAATACCGTCGTTATAGATATTCTCTATCTACTAGTATAACGAGTACGTGCGCTTCTACAAAGAATTCACTCATTTCAGGCATTTAGGTGGACTAAATTTTCCGGTGGGGCGGACACTGGGAAAAGTATATATGTTCCATATAAATTATATTTCGTTCGAGTGGTGGTGGTGGGGGTGGGGGGGGGGGGAGAAGGGAAGGCGGGGCGGTAGATGTGCTTCGGGGACGGGGGAGTGGTGCCCCCACACCCCTGTAGAGATAAAATGTTTAAAAGGTTTTAAAGAAAAAAAACTTAGTTTTTTTCTAATTAAATTAATTCTTTTTTCCTTGTTCTAAATAATAAACTGTAGCAAATCAGAGAGTTAGAAAGCACAGACGAAAGACATACAGGTAAAATATATATTTGCAAATTTTTATAGAAAGTGATTTGAAACGTACATACTGTACGTTTTATACTTTTAAGAGTACTGAAGCTCTTAATATTTAAATCAAAAGCTTCCTGATACATTATCTGCACAATTTTGAAGCAAATACGCTCCTTAGAGTCATACGGCTCACAGTTATTGCCGCAGCTACAGAGTGATTTATTTGTCTAGGGTATGTCTAGTTTTACAAGAGGTCCCTTTATATTTTTATGTTAAATTGATATTACTGACTTTATGTCAATATGAAACGAACTCATTGGAAGAGTTGAACAATAATGATGTAATTCATTAATAATAGGGATTGTAAGTCTACGGTCTCTAAATATACTAGCTGGCAAGTACGAGAACGAGAAGTTGTAACCTACTTACAAGCCCTATTACCTTAAATAAAACTTAGAAAAATACTGGATTTAACGTTAGATTAATTGATTTGCGCAAGGTCGTTATGACGTTATGGTTGCTTGGTCTAACTTCAAATTTAGACCTCAGTAAATGCACCGTTATCTGATCTAGTCCCAATCTGGCCACACAGATTTTGATACACGGTGCTAAATAGTTTATAAGTGCGCTTCTCCTTGGAGAACAAGTGCTGTAGAATGTTCGTACTTTTATATTGGCAAGCGCAGTGGCACAAAACAACAACAACAACAACAACAACAACAGAAAAACGACGTGTTACATCCGAAAAGCTAGAAGATAGAGAACTGAACTAAAGCGCCCCTACCCTATATGTTATATGACTAAGGCTTCGTCCTCCTGTCTGACTGTAGATTCCTTTGTTTTTACTGGGACTTTTTAAAGTACCTATGTTTACCTTCGGCATTTTAATAATACTCTATGTTTACATAGCAAGCAGGGGGTTAAGGTGGAAACACAACGATATATATATTTAGAATCTATTAACAAATGTGCTACAAATATAGTAACATAACATATTTTACAGGTTTAGAAATATATACAACACTAGCTGTTTCTATTATTGCATTAATAATCCTTATATTTGGATTATATAAAATAGTATGTTGCGCATGTAAAGGTAAGCAGATTTTCATTGATTAATTCTATTAAAGTCTATTAAAGTATACTATTGGAAAATCATTGTTTTAATTTATATTTCTATATATTCTTACTTTTTGACTTTTGAGGTTATTGTTTATAAATATTGACAAAATGCAGTCAATAGTCTCAAACAATTGAATGACGTTGTAAATGTAATTAATTGGAATAGCTAATATTTTAAAACAATGTTTTCATTTAACACGTAAAACAAGTTTTAAATCTAGATGATATATAAAATCTTTGAATGTTTTTTTGCAATTTCCCTTCAATCCACTTTCAAATTTTTATTTTCATTTTATTTTATGCAACAACGATGTTCAGATAAGACGTTTGTAATATCGGCAAAACAGAAAGTTGCCAATCTAATACCATTTGTTGAAAAAAAACAAATGGAGGACTATATGAAGAAATACATGGACGAAGAGCTTAAAAATTTTAAAGTTGCTGTAAAAGACCTAATGAATACTAAACTGAATGAACACAATTCTAATAAAAATCAAGTTCAAAACAATTCCAAGAAAACAAAAGACAACCCTTGTGTGAGAACATCATCTACGTCAGACCATACTGACGGTAAGATAATTGCTTTGTTTAAAAATAGAATAACAAAACATACTATTTCTGTGATAGATTTTGACTCATTTTGGTTTAGGTATACGTTTTTCTGAGTCATAAAATGCTTAATTGACTAAATAATATTATTCAAGAAAAGAATTATGATTTGTGTTACGACTTTGTTCTATCTTTAAGCTATTTGCTCCTATGTAGTGCCCACACCCATATGTATATATATATATATATATATATATATATATATATATATATATATATATATATATATATATACTTTATATGCATATATATACATATATATATACATATATATACATATATACATATATATATATATATATATATATGTATATATATATATATATATATATATATATATATATATATATATATATATATATATATATATATATATATATGTTTGCAGATTAAAAAAAATATTTTTTAGTTGTTTGTTAAAAATTAGAAGTTCAGAGAAAGATTAAAAATGAATATTACATTGAGCCATTCAAAATGTATTTTTTGACCTTCTACTGAAGCCTCACAAATCAAACAGGGTTAAATACCATACACGGCATTGGCGTTAAGGACGTCCCATTGCAAAGTGAAGCACGGCTTCTCTGTGGAAACCACATATGAGTTGGTGACATACACCTTATGAAATACCTTGATGTCTTCTCTCTTGAGCATTTTATTATGTTCATCCTTCCGTACATGATGTCTGTTATCTGGGCTTTCCACAGCCGATGGTACATTTGATGACGTTTGAAAGGGACAGTGCGCTCTAAGTTTCTAGTGTGAGGTGGCTGGTCCATTTTAATGAATTGATTTATAGTCGGTTAAAGACATTTCAAGCTACCCCTTCGCAGTTGATTACTTGTCATCCCAACAGGTTTACATCATACTTGGCGACCAATGGAGTTTACAGACAGTGAAATTCGCGAAGAATTAGCACGTCTGGGTTACAGAGATGTTCCAGATGAGAGGCTTGATGAATTCATAAAAGACTTCTCAAATTCTCTCAATAGCAACAGTGATGAGTCAAAATTTGAAAGTCAGTTTCCAAAGTCACCTTATGAACCTAGAGTGGATTTTACTGACAATCAGACAATTCATTATCCAAGAACAATTTACAGACATAGGATAGATTATTTGAGCTATGGAGGGGACAAGTCTGCCCCAATGCCGGGGCAAGGTTATTTAGCGCCGTAGGCAAAACTTATTAAAACGCCCCTCCCCCGCAAATTTTTTTGGGCCCCCATATCTATAATCTATAATATAAGCGGGCTGGTAGTGTGTCAGTCCTTCCTTCTTTCCGTCATCGCTATAGATTTTGGAACCATGTAGGAGTCACTCCCTGTGCGTGGATGCCCGGGTAAACGTGATGTTTGGCGGCGGTTTATATGACGACGCGGGTCTGGGGGAAGAAAGATGTCTGGGTGGACGTTTGTGAGAGTGTTGGCTCCCAATTATTTTTTACCGTAATTTAATTTTTGTCAATATCCATATTCACACGGGTATGCAGCTTGTTTTATTTATTTTTATATTCAGTGCGCTTATAGGCTCATTATCATACATGCATTTTAAGTTTCTTAAATTTCTTTCTGATCGCTGTGACCTAGTTTAATATTCATTGCTGTTGTATTTTTTTCAGAGGGAACACCTAAAAATGAAGACCAGGAACCTGTTGGTAAGTGTTAATTTTTTTTACAATAATATTTGTTGGGATATTTTTAATAAGTATAAGTAGGCCTAATAAAATAATTATATAAAATAATAGTTTAATGCTGATTTTAAATCTCTTGTTGAAAAGCTAAGAACTTAATTAAGGCTTCATTTAGATTTGTTATATTTTAGTCGATTAGAAACCTTTTACACTCATGTTAATTTTATAAAGACATTAGATGTATTTAACCCTTTGAGCCCTGGCTTCCCTGACCTAATTTCTCCCATTTCCTGAGCTCCCAGGCCCAAACCGATTTTTACTTATCTGCTTCTAACTTTGCCTATAACTTTTGAACCGTTTGAGATAATCAAGCCAAATTTGGTATCCAGACTCAGGATCAAACAACAATGCAGTATGATTATGAAATTCTTTATTTTCTTTACAATGTTTGAACAGAACAATGTATATAAAATGAACACATAATTATTGTTTTGATAGAACATAGAAGAAACCAATTTACATTTAGTAATTGTTTTGTTATTATTGATACCTGGCCATACTAGTTCATCGCCAGAAGTCCACTTTTGTATTATAACTTTCAAAACAGTTATAACTGCCGGACCCGATGCAAAGAAAAAATTCGCATGTTTTGCACCAGTAAACAGTTTTTTTTCGTTTCGGCAAGTCTTTGTCCTTGACACCACGTGCATCAGAACGTACTTGAACAGTTTCATTGTCACTGTCAATTTCAATGTCACTGTGTTCAGTCTCAAATTCAACGTCACTATCATCACAATATAGACCAGGAATATTATCTTCTTCATCAGAATCAATAATTAGTTGTATTGCCTGAGATGCCATCATTCTACTTCTTTTGTTGATAATTCGGTCTTTTGCTTCATCTTTTGCACCAACTTTATGTGATGAAGTCGACGACTGTGGCTCAGCTTTTCGTTTCGACGGCATTGCTACGAAATGTAAACACTTTCACTTTCACTTTGCCTAAAAAAAAATTAAAATCATAATCCCGCACTCAAAAGACATATGCGCAGTTTTAGTCAGTCTTCTGCTAATTATATTTAATTAGACGGTATACCAGACGCTAGGAATATGACGCTAGATCATCGGGCCGGAAAACCGGCTTTTCGGACATATATGCCTAATGTTGAAGCCGGTTTACCGGCCTGGCGGGCTCAAAGGGTTAATATCACACTTTGTATAAATGATATATATTAGAAAACTGACCACAGTTAAAATATATGTGTATTTTCTACATTACATTACTAGAATCGCATTCAATTGTTGTTGCATCAATTTCATGTTTTTAGATCATAATTACCAATCATTGACATTAGAAGCTATTGGGTCAACAAAAATGTGTGACGATGAGCAATCTGACGACGAAGGGAATGAAACTGAAAGGACGCCTTTAAATAATGATATAAATATGCAATAGTAATTCAATTAAGAACTTCTTTTGGTAGATTTTTACATTATTCTTAGAGATAATTTTATGGTTGTGCAATTTATTGTGTGGTGGATGTGACAAGATATTGTCAACAGTGTTCTTTATGATTAGTTGATGTGTGATGGGTTTGTCAACTTTATGAGGTGGTTATGTTTTTTTGTTATATGATGATGTGGTCAGTTTTTTGAGGTGATCGTGGTCATTTGTTGTGGTAGTTATGGTCAACTTATGTCTGATGGTTGTGGTCAGTTGTTATTCGGTGCTTGTGTGGTGGTTGTAGTCATTGGTTATGAATATGGTGGTGATAAGTATCTATGAGATGGTTGTGGTCAGTTTTGTGGTAATTATGGCTAGTAGTTTGTTTAATTGTAAAACATTGGTTTAGTTAACTTGTCGTATCGTCGTTGCCTATTGGTTTAGAGCAGTTTTCTTGTAAGCTTGTACAAATTATTAACACATATAGTAGTCTACTGTTTTGTTAGACAACAAGTGAATACAAAACTAAATTGTGACAGTTTTATCCAAGTTTTGTTTCCATGCACAAGACAGCCGAGAATCCCCCGTAAGTGGCTCTAGGAGGAGGCTAGGGGAGCTTAGCCCTTATTAGATTTAACAAAATATAAAATGTTTTGTTTTTTAAATTTTTAATTTCTTAAGACCATATTTATTAATCTACACTGGTAATTAATACTATTTTCTTCTTTGCAAATATGCTTTTAAACTTAAAATAGTCATTTTTTTTATTGTTTCATTTTACATCTTTGTGTTGCTTTGAATGGATCTATTGAGGACATTGGAAGATTGCCCCGTTAGCCCTCGAAATATATAAAAAAATTGAAATAAAAAATGCTCACACGTCTATTGTTTATAACTGTTAAAAGATACTGATAAATCAAACGAAAGTGCATGTCTGTGATTTGTAAATACATGATTTTTACTTTAGCAGGATCTATTTTATTTGTTTTAGTAGATTTGAATGGACACGGAAGATTAACTTCAATACCAAAACAATTCGAGCTTTTGATCTTGTGTCAAACCGTTAATACATGATACAAGGAATTGTAAACTCTACATCAACACAGTTGCTAAATCCAAACCAAATAATGTTATCGACGACAAAATGCATAACGTCCATTTAGCCGGGCAACGGAACACCTCAAACATCAGTCCGAATACCTAACAAACAAAATCTCTCTCTCATCTCTCTCTCTCTCACTCTCTTTATATATATATATATATATATATATATATATATATTTATTTATTCTAAGGGGTTGGCCATTCAGGGGTTTGACCACAATTGCTTTGACCACATGCGTTTTTTAAAATAACATCAATAATCATAATCTGTAATTAAGAAAGGACTTAAATAGCGTAGGGCAGCTAACTCGAAAGTATTGACCCTACTATCCCTTTATATAGTGAGGTCAATGAAACAAATGAACCTTAATTTATCTGCCCAATATGTCTTGTGCACTGCCGGGAAAAGGTGATGATAGATAATGGTACAATTAATCAATTAATTAACTTCTATGTGACACGTTTTCTTGAGTTGTCAATAAGAGACTTAACATGTAATACCTAAAACATTTATGGAAGATTGTTTTCGGTTCGCGTAAAAGCTGTTGCCAGCACAACTTGGTTTATTTTTAAACTTGAATACAAATCAGGCAACATTTGCAATCTACTATGAAAGAACGCATACAAGTAATACACTCAATTCAAAATGATAAGCAAATATTATCATTTATGGAATAATCATTTTATGATTATGTAAAGACATATGCTAAATAGCACTCGAGTATGTCAGTACATATTTTTGATGTAGGTTTGAACAGAACGTTTATCATTTTCGGATATGATCATGTATCACATCTCAGCTGGATTGTTGGCTCCTCTGACAGTTTACAGTCACCTGCTTTGTATAGTACATATACAGACCGTCAAGGAAACATCACATTGTAAGTGTGATTACATTTTAGGAGCTACTAAATGTTTTTAATCGTGCTAAACCATCGCCAATCGTGTGCATTTGATTCCAAGTTTCAACTGTAAACAAGCCGGATTTGTACTTTTCTCCACAACAACTAAGCATTCGAATACAGGCTTATCTTTTTGGATTTCCAACGGCCAACTTTGTGAATGTTTAGCACAGTCATATCCTCTTAAAATATTTATGAATTCTTAACTCATTTTATGTAATACATTGATGCTCATTGCAATGATGTGCTTGAATTTGCATCGGGGCAGTGAGAAAAAAATTAAAAAAGAAAACTGGTGTAAACAATTGATTAAATTGTACCAATAACACATACGCAAGCTGTATTTCTATTATTTTACCGACTAAAAGAGAAAAAAAGACTAAATAATATCTAGTCATTATTCAGTCAACAGTTTTGCAAGAACGAGACAAGGAGTTACATATATCTCTCAAATCCATATTTAACAGGATAAATCGGGATTTACAATAAAGCATATTCGAAATATTAGAGATTATTTAGTAGAGGACTGTTCAGTGTAATTGAATTTATTTGCGTATATAGCATGTTTATCACAGTTGTATGTTACTTTAGTTTCTTTATAAAGGATCTGAATATTTAGACGTCTTTCACAATAAATACAGTTTGCGCATCAACTATGTGGGAAGTTATGGCGTTTTACATAGAAACCAAAGCAAGAGAAAATAGGGGCATGTAGTTTCGTATGACATAGTGTGCTGAAACAAAATAGCAAGTAACACATTTCACAAAAATCGAAATGAAGTAGGTAGTAGTGAAAGTAAAGGGCGCCTTTTCCTTAATTGTATTTCAACTAGCAACATTGGTCTAAATAAATAACATATAAAAAGTGAAGTCGTTGCCGTTGTATACACTCGCAGTCTCCTTCCTATAAAAGCTCGGCTAGTCCCCTGAATAAACTTACGTTTACGTAATGTGTAACGCTAAGGTTTAAAATGCAACATTACGTAGACATGGCCCAGGTTCCATCCCCTGCTTGATTTAGTTACATATGAACCTGGGTAACAAATAACAACAGCAAATAAATGCAACATGTTTTTATGTTGCTATATTCGTGCTTTATCATAACGGACTTTCCCAAACTGTATGTATTGCAACCTTAAAATAGATAGCTTTTGCCATTTATGGCCATTACGTACTGTTAATGAATCAACATGCAAAATATGCCCATTTAATTACGAGTCAATGAACTTTGAAAAAATAAACCTAATAAACACCACCTTTTTGCGATATTGTAAATAACCCTAACCCTAACCCTAACCCTAACCCTAACCCTAACCCTAACCCTAACCCTAACCCTAACCCTAACCCTAACCCTAACCCTAACCCTAACCCTAACCCTAACCCTAACCCTAACCCTAACCCTAGCCCTAGCCCTAGCCCTAGCCCTAGCCCTAGCCCTAGCCCTAGCCCTAGCCCTAGCCCTAGCCCTAGCCCTAACCCTAGCCCTAGCCCTAGCCCTAGCCCTAAACCTAACCCAAAACCTAGCCCTAACCCTAACTCAAACCCTGTCCGGGGGGGGGGTAATGTCCTACTGGGCGGGGGGTAATTGACAGGGGGGTAATTTACAGGGGGGGGGGGTAATTACTCTGGGGGGTAATGTCGGGGGGAAATATCCGGGGGGTAATTGACAGGGGGGAAATGCCCTGTTCACGGGGAGAGTAGCTTCCACCTTCGACCATTTTAAGGATAGAGGCGGCTTTTCGGAGATTAATTAAATAAAATTCAAAACAACTTCCGCAACACAAAAAAAACAACAACAACAACAGACAACACATTACTGAAAATATGAATAAAAACCTGACATATTACATACGCTTAATATAATATTATTTAATTGCTCATTGGAAGTAGTTCTATAACCTACTGATTGGTCTTCTTATTGGCGCCTAGCTCAGCGCCATGCAAGCGCGAGGCTACTTTTAATAGCACGGTTTATCCACTCTAGCGGTAGTGCCTGTACATAACTGTTTGTGTTATTCCTGCTGGATATAGACCGTCAACCACACACAGATCAATCTTTATTCACACGTGTAGACTTTACTGGAGCTGTCAGGCTCAATTCAGCTATACATCTTTTACACGGGACGCCTTTTAAATGTGGGTTTTAAGATCAGTCTAGAAACGTAGGATAATTGTTTACCTAAAGTGTGCACCGTAGCCATACGATTTTGCTTATCTTTGATATGTTAGTACTAGCAGGAAGGGAAACTGCAGGTCCCTTGCCTGTCACCTGATCTAGAATATTTTTTGAAATGTATCTTGTACAGATGCATATCTTTTCTTTAGATGGATTGTGTTAAAACTATATGCAAATATATGGGGGGGGGGGAACTGAATACATGTACCGACAAAATAAACACATTCTACACAGCCCAATGAATGTTAGTATGAGTTATTACATTACTTAACCAAACATTGTTCTTTGAGTTAACCTTGGTACTTTAATACATAGACAGTTTATACAACACGTCTAGTTTATAGATATATCTTTCGTTAGCTGACTACTGTTATGTCCAACCTCCGACAGCCAGTCAGGAGCGGACACCCCAGGTTCGTTTGGTATGGTACCGATAGAAGACGTTGTAACGGAATCTCAACAACTTGCCGTGAGCTCGTTAATGCAGTCTAGGGGTAAAACACGACAAATCGAAGAGACTCACACGACTTAAACTATGAATACCTTTTTAATTTATGTACAAGATAATGACACTAGGTAAGATCAAAATGTACAGATTCTCAGTGTAATATAAATAAACTCAACTCCAACTTACAGTTTGAGAAAAATCACAATATCACAGCTGTGATAAATCATTAATACACACAACTGAACTGGCCTCATAATAACCACAACAAAAAACCAGGAAGAGACAATTTGCCTCTACAACAATAGAAATCCTTATACAGGTTAATACTATCACCGATAGTCAAAAAGGTGTAATACTACACCAGAACACAAATTCAGTAAAC